AAGATGCTGCGACCCGCGCTACGCCGTTGTTTGCCTAATAGCGTATTCATGACGCAACGTGGTTGCGCGGTCTATTATAACGTTCGACATATTTCCCAGCGGGCCGGTGCTCGTATTGTCAGTTGCCACGGGTCCATTGTTGCCAACTCGGGGAGCGTGACCTTTGATGGAGCGTTAATATCGTACGGCCTGTGTCCTGTGAGAACTGAGAATCGGACTGCGGTTTTTTTTTAAATATGTTAACAAACTTCCTCTACAGACTAGTGGTCCGTACTCTTTTTATTTTAGCTTTTTTTTTTTATTTCATTTTGAGCTGTCACCGCAGCATCAACCGGATTGGTAAAGGTGTTTCTTTTAGTTTCAGTTTTTAGAATTCCGTATCCAAAGGGTAAAACGGGACCTAAGGACCTTACTAAGACTCCACAGTCTGTCTGTCTGTCTGTGCGTCTGTATCCAAGCTGTCTCAGGAACCGTGATAGTTAGACAGTTGAAATTTTCACAGATGATGTATTTCTGTTGCCGCTATACTAAAAATACTAAAAAACGGAATAAAAAATATTTAAGCGGGGTTCTCATACAACAGACATGTTTTTATTCCCGTTTATATAGATAATGGTCATTGCCCGGTTATGTTCGCGTTAATGTAAGAAATCATTACATCGTGATATTGTCACCCCTTTTCTAATTGCGCATCGGTGACTATAGAAGAAAGTGTCCAATAAACATGCCATGGTGAGGGTGTCTGGTCACGATAATACTTCCATATTTCTATGAAACATATCATGTATTCTTCATGCTCTAACTTAAATTTTGAGACCATGTGCACATGATAATATTTTTTTACATTTGATTCAAAGAAAACAGATAAAGTGCATAGTAATATATCTAACAAAAAACTAATATACCGCTTTTTTGACACATTTTTTCTTCAATCGAATATTATCATTTTATGTGTTAAGGTCTTTATGTATAATTTATTACGTTATGTTGCTTTTGGCAAGCGGACGACCTTCAAGTAATAAAATTATGCGTTCTTGACATGAAAATATTTGAAGGTGTTGAAGTTAAATTTTACACTTATAAACATTTAAGAGGCGCCTTCATTCGTTTGACGTTCTCGAATGGAATTGTAGAAAGTGAGGATTCAAGACGTTGCAAAATAGTTCACCTTGTAACATATCGTGTGACCTACACGAATTGTACCGTTTACCGCACCGTAATCACAGCTGTCGTATTAGAAGATATACTCTGCTATTAGAAGATATGCACCGGAGAGACTATTTCGTTGTATTTATTATTTCAAAAATTTTAATGAAGACCAATCGTGCATGTGATTCTGCGGTAATGTTCACATTCTTACGGACAATTAAGTTTTTAAGATTAATTAAGGTTTTTTTTTTTTAATTTGAAAAGTTGACAAACAAGCAGGCGTTTCGCCGGCATCTACAACACCTGAGAGGTGGCCGGTGCTGTACCAACCATTGAAAAATTTGGCTCTGCTACCTCACTCACCAGACGTTTGTCTATGTCAGTGATTCTCAACCACTGTGCCGCGGCACTTTTGTGTGCCGCCAAATTTCAAAAGTGTGCCGCCAAATTTTGCAAATATATAATAATGTTAATATTATTAAATTATATCATTTAAAAAGAAAACTATTGTTTGTCATTAGCTAACATTAAAACTAAAAAAAGATCAAGATTGTTAAATGTAGAAAACGATATGACAGTAGCATTGTCATTTTTACGACCAAATTAAATTATCAAAAACAATAAATGAAATTATCAAAAAACATCAAGCTCAAATTTCGCATTAAAAATATTTTTATTATTAGCTTGTAATTAATCCCTTAATAAACATTTAGTTATTATTGTAATATATATTAGTTTATTTCGTATATTTAAAATTTTTATCATAAACTATTTATGCAGTGTGTTGTAGTAAGTAAATAATTTTCTTTGTGTGCCGCCAAATTTTGAAATCGTCCTAACATTTCTTATCTATACAAGTAAAAAACTGAGAGGCCACGATAACATGATATATACGAATGAAACTGTAACCATTTATGGACTATTACATAGAAAAGATTAGACGTACGACGTTATGTTTTTGGAAGAGTTGAATCAATCGATTGTCGATTGTTATGGGTCTGCGGATGTGTCTTTGTTGATATCGCTATGCACAGATCACTCTCCGTTTGGACACAACAGTACCTACGCGTATAAAAAGCAATCTCCGTTTAGACATAATGGTACGGTACCAACGCGTACAAAACGGTGCGGGAGGCATTTTTGAATTTCGATAGCCGAGTAGTGCTCTTCGTGTACAATGTTCGATCGCTTTTGTATCCAAAAGCAAATATGCATACAATTTTCACGTGCGCATATCCAGCCACTTTGATCTTGGAGTAACTGTTTGTTTGTTTGTATATTCTTTATTGTACTAAAAGTTTGTACAAAGGCGAACTTAATGCTAAATAGCATTTTCTTCCAGTTAACCTTTGGTGGTTGAGAGCAAGTTACGGGTAGTAACGCTAAAATGACATACAAGATTTTAAGTGTCTATCATAAAGAACTGTTGATGTTAATGACTCCGTGTCGGAGTTGCCAAGGTATTGCCTTGGGCGCCGGGTATCGTCGGTTCGATTATCACGCGAGACAACTACTTATGTGGCCTACATATAATTGTTTCGGATCTAGGTGTGATGTCAACGTGATATTTATATATGTGAAACGTCCTTCCAACACAAGATAATGTTACCGTACAGTGAGAGGCAATGTTATGAAGGGTAGACTACAATAGATCTTTCTAGGACGCAGAGGTCATTGGGACTTACTACCCAACCCCTCACACAAAAAATAAATCTGTTTTTTTTACCAACAAATATAAATACTAAAAACTACTACACAACGTAACGCATGCATACAGTTTGAATTGCGACAAAATAACCCTTATCGCAATCTTGAAAGAAATCACGGCAATGACATTTAAAGATGAAACATTCGCTTGGCTCACCTCGATTATTTTAATCACAAAATCCGTATATCAAACAATTCATTCAGTTGTAATAAGTAATTCATTCATCATGTTGTACGGCGTTTAATCTACGTTTTATGAAAATATGAATGAAACATACATTACGATTAAGAAGAGGAATTACTTTGTCCTCTACATCGCGAAGATAATAATTAGTTCGTAATTAAACAATCTTCGCTGTTGCAAGAATGAGTAGGTACCTACGGGTAGGTACCACCTCCTCACAAAAGACCGCCGTGATGTGGAATTGTTATACTTTTACGATTATTCTCACTCACCAAGTACGATAGCCCCCACATTATTTAAAAGTAGGCACGCATCTGCAACCCCACAGATGTTGTAAATGTCCATGGGCGGCGGTAATCATTTATCATCAGGTCTGTCAGCTCGTTGGATAGCTTCTCACATTAAAAAAATATCTAAGTATATAAACACCTAGACGCAATGCACAGCCAGATGAGATCGAACCCAGACCCGCTCGGCGCAAGACAGGCTCATTTCCCAATACGCCTGTCGGACCGCAGGGATGCCTAAAAATATCGATATACCTATCGATATTTTTTAATTAAACATATCGATATTTTTATCCGATATATCGATATAAAATACTCAATATCGAAATCATATCAAAAACGTTGCTTCTTCAAATTCGAATCCGGCACAGAGTCCATAGGTGTCAAATATTTAATACTTGACATACCTTTTTTTTGGACAACGGTTCCTAAATAGAAAATATCGATATTTCTTCTTCGGTATATTGAGGCCGATATTGATATTTTATTTATTAATATTATTCCTTAACTTTCGGCATCCCGATCAGACCATCGATAAATCATTCGCATATCGTGAAATTTAGTGAGATCGTGCCTATTTCTAAACTAATCAATGTAATCGTTTTCTACTCATCGCTTTATATCCGGATTAGAAAGTTGCTCTTACCATCCTTTGTTAAAGCCACACAATATGCGTTGGCGAGAAATTCGGTCAGTGGACACGACCTTTTCGGTCCAGATGATTGTAACGGGCCGTACGCATTACTGTTAAAAGTATCAACTTTACAACCGCCGAAAGTGTGCAGATTGTCTTAGCGATTGATATAACGACGCGGATAAATTGTTCTGTTGTTTCCCCGATTGATTCTGATGACGCTAACTATTTTAACATAATTACATAACAATCAAATCGCGCTACATTTACCGTCTGAAATCTTTGGGGCAAGATTTAGGACTGCTTTCATAAGTCTAGATTGATATGATGTATCCGGTCTATTCGTATGAATGTCTAATATTGTAATATCTACTATAACATTACAGCATTATTATGTATTACAGAAAATTTACAATTAGGTATATAATTTAATTTGTACTTATAATTTTAGTAATTTGTATTTTAGTAATTGTTGCTTTAATCTGTTGCTCATTTGAATCCTACCATTTATTTTGTTTTAACATATGTTAATTTTGTTTTAAATATTTGAAATTCGAAATTGTAATGTTTTATTTGCAATAAGCGCACCTAACAAAATGTTTTACGCACTACACTTTTAACGAAACAACTAATGATAGATTTATTAAAGCTATTCTCGTATAAATCATCGTATTTTGGACATAAACAAGATATCCTGTGTGAAGAACTTTTTATTTGAAAAGTTGACACTTGTACACCCAGTTACAGGTTTGAACCGAACCGAACAACTTGCTCGTTTGCCACCTTCACTTATATAAATGAAAAAATAAAAAGTGTATATTGAAACTGATTATATAATTCACTGCGGTGTGGACTCCCAACAGCTTCTGCTGTTGCCAGATGTCCAGACATCGAAAAACGAAGACCTTTCCGAGAGAGTAAACTCAGGCGCTTCAGATGTCCATGGGCATGGCGGTATTCGCTTAACACGTGAAACGCCTGCTCGCTTGCCAACTTTTGCACATAAAAAAGCCAGTAGGACATATCTCAGTGCTTTCGTATGCACACGCCTCTGTCGGTGCGCCATCGCATCGGCCCCGATACGTTCTCCCGTAGAGCGGTGACGGGCCGGCTGGGTCTCGAGGCCTACCACTACGAGCCCTCGTGTCGTGTGTCGCATCACACGAACACGACCTTTATTCCGAACCGCGTAGAGCACACATTACAACATCGGCGGTCGGGTCACGTTCCACGTTCGTCGTAAAAGCGACGTAAAGTGTTCAGTGCGCGTATTTATCGTTATTGACTGTTAAGACACGCTGCGCCGGACGCTTCTCGAAGTTAGCGCCAACGCGGATTTATTTCACGGTACTGGCACGCACAGAACTCGTTTTGAAGACTTCAAACGAGACGGACTGTACTAAAATAAGCTGTTTGTTGTTTGTCATCGTCTGCGAACGGTGTACACGGACAAAATTAAGAATGGGCCACGATAAAGTCGATAACAGCTACTTCGTCTCGATGTTATGGTATATGAAACGTGCGTTAAATATTAACGTGCCATAATCTGTTCTCGCATTTAGATCTCAACAGACGAAAGTGATATTTTTGACGTATAATTTACTGTGTGACACAATGCGTGTTCATTCCATTATTCATAACAGTGCAATGTAAAGAAATAATACTAACAATATCCATTAAAACATTTTAAATCAGTAACAGTTTGAGTTTACCGTGTAAAAATACAGCAAGCAACTTTAAAATTTAAACGTGGACTATAACATAGTATTTCAGACCCGTTCCGTTGAAACGCAAATACTTCGTGACTTTTTCTTACATATGACATCGATGGGGGGTCGGAAACTAATCGGAAAGCCCTTGAACGCACGGACCTTAAAACAACCAAGATCGAATGCGCGCATCTGAACCAATGACCCCTGAATAATTGACGAAATGCACTCGAGAACTAACGACGCGGTTGCCAACTGCTAATTGGCGAAACAGCCAATAACAACTTTATGAATAAACCTGAAATTTCCGCGACAGGTGTTTAAAAATACAAGTATCAATTAAACACTAATACAGATTAAAAAATAAAAAGAGACAAATGAACCGGAAAATTCTAAACATTTATGGCCGCGTGTAAGATGCAAAAATTTGCTTCGTGGAGTGATCTGAGGTCAGCCGATGGGACTTAGAGATACAAACGCTTACGTATTATTAACGTGAAAGAGTGAGACAGAGATAGTCTGTCGACCTCTCACCGAACTTGAAAATCGCAAAACGACAGGTTTTATAGCACCTATATAATCACCGTCGAATATGATACTAAATTCTACACTCAAGAATGGCGTTAAAAAGAAACCTTCTTGGTGGATGTTACCACGTTCCCATGCGACTTCAAACTTCAATCCAAAGCCGTCCCAACGCTGGGCATAGGCCTCCCCACCGCCCTTAGTCACTGTATTATAAGCGAAGTATCAGCCCTCCATGCGACAGTCGCCTAGCAACACTAAGATCGCATTAAGCATAAAACATGCGGACGTGTCCAGCTGAAGATATGCGGAATACTAATAATAGACGTCTAAAGACGGGCGTGGGTTGAATCGCTGTAGACGAGCTGCAAGTTAAATGTACGGCACCCTATTTGGAACCAAGCAACGTGTCGTACAAATACACCAATACATTTAAAAAAACTGACATTTTCACAGGGAATGAAAAAAAAAACACTGTTATAGCCTCTCAACACAACTCGGAGATAATTATCTGTGATTGTTCCACCCAATTATTTTATAATGTATAAGTAACAGCCTATACATGTCCCACTGCTGGGCAAAGGCCTCCTCTATACAGAGGGTATCAGGGCATAGTCCACCACGCGGCCCCACTGCGGATTGGCGGATTTCACATATCTTCGAAATATATATTTTTTTGTTATTATTACAATTATACCAGAATTAATGATAGAGAAATCTTCTGTAGACAAACTTTCATCAGAAATGTCAACATTCTTCAATGTACCTACTTGTTTATTTACTGACCACTCTATTAAGCAGTCATTGTATCCAATCTACTTACCTACTAGGCCAAATATTATTGTGCAGTTGTGTTTATTGGAAGATCTATGCTGTCCGAGTTTATTTTACAGTCCCATTATACAGTGTTGAGGAGGAACATTTTGAGAAAAAGAGCAAGATTTTGTTTTCTTTGTGACCTTACAACAGTGTTGAGAAAGGGCAAGATTTTATGTTTTCTTGGGGACCTTACATATAAATTATACAGAATGAAACTTGTATTACTACTACATGTTGCAATCCATTGCATAGCAAAGGAAATAATAATCAATTACTTCTTTAAATACAAATATGCTGGCACTCATATACCGCATAGATTGCTTCATATGGATTCAGTCAACAGAAGTCAATGTGTTATAAAGAATGCGATTACATGTAATTAATGGCATCATCAATGTTACATTATTAGTGCAAAGGTATGTTAAGTTAGAGCTGATACCAAATATTTACACTAGAAAAATAAATATATATATCATGAGGTTTTTAATGCCCTCAAATAATTCAAAAACATTACATATTGACAATTCTTAATGTAGTAAGTTCTAAGTATGTTTTCTTTTAAATCGAGTGGCTAGTTGCAAACTGCTTAACTAAAAGTGGGAGAAATGGATGAATGTTGGAGGTAAGTACATTTGTTTAACTGACACCTATTCACTGTTGTGTCTCTTTAGTTTCTAATCATATTGTAATAGCTATTGTATTTTATTTATAATGAGAATTTCTCATCAATACAATGAGTATGACTATAAATATGGACAAAGTGTGAAGAGCTAAGATTACACAAAATTTAAAATTTTATGGTTCATAAATGAAACTAATTTTACGGATTTATCGCGTTTATTTTTAATTTTAGTTCAGTTAAATCCGTAAAATTAGTTTCATTTATAATGTGTAATCGCGTAAATACAAGAAATTTTTATGGTTCAGTTCATAAAGCATTAAAAACTGCGGTGGTAGGGCCACACACCAGCCTTGGCTGTTGCATGAATGGACAGGCATGTCCGAGTAAGTACCATGACCTCACAGAAGAACAGCGTAAAGTGGAAGTATGCCAAATACTTTCATGTTTCGTCTGGTGAGTGAGATAGCCGGAGTCCAATTTTCAAACGGTTGTCAACGCATCTGTCACCCTCGGGTGTAGCAGATGTCCATGGGCGGCGGTATATACTTAACATTAGGTGAACCATTTGCTTGTTTGGAAACTTTTCGCATAAAAAAAAAACATTTAAAACATTTCGTTTTACATAGTTTTAGGGCAATTATAATAATTAATTTCCTATTAGAATAAATAGTACTGTATCAAGGATGTAATAAAGTCCATATATTATCCAATTGATAACAAATTACCCACTAGATAACACGCAATCATGTCGCAAAATTATGTGACAAATTTTATATGATTTGTGTATGGTAAACCACAGAATTTTGATTTTTTGTTGATTTTACAAACTTAACATTGCTCTTGATAATGCTGAAGTGAAATTGTGTTTATATTCTGATACTCATGACTTTTATTAAACATTTATTCTTATTATCTTACATTGAAAAAATAAATTTAATGTCTCTTAATTAAAATTTATTAACACAATTATTAGCCATATTCTAGTGAATATGGGTAATAATTGTGTTAATGGGTAATAATTATGAATGGATGGAAATATGGATTCATATTTTAATAGTTTAAAATATAAATACAAACATAACTTCTATTGTAATAAGCCAATCTTATATAGGCACATAAAAAGGTCACATTCCAATTATTGACGTCACCGTACTGGTGGCAATGAACTATTTGACTGGAGGCCTTATTGTCTCAACGTTTTATAATTGGCTATGGCCATAAAAATTTAGTGCAAGCTATGATTTTTCTGCATCTTCTTTAGTTATGAAACAAAGTTGACCTATGTCAATATTAAATAATGTATTTATGTTAACATCACTTTATTAAATATTATTTAAGGTTTAACAAAAGAATAATTCATTAAATGTAACATATATCTATGTGAGACAAAAACTTTGTACCCCTTTTTAAGAAAATTGCATTTAGCAATTTAAAAAAATATTACACATGCTACCATGTCTAATTAATTATGGTCAACTTTTCGCCACTAGGTGGCCACTAGTAATAATAAATTACAATATATTATAAATGTGAAAAACATAACATACCATATAATATTAATTGCCTTATTCTCCTAATCTCATCTATCTCAAGTATAATGGAACCATCTGACATGACACTTTTTAACTTAAAAATGCAACTATTCTAATACATTCCTTTAATTTAAACAACATTTAAATAATTATCAGGATAATTTTCACTTAATGGTCATTAAAGTTGTAAATTTTAAAATACCTGTAAATTAATAATCTTTGGTCAAGGAATATTAAAAGGATTTAAAACTTTAGATATTATTATTGTAGGTGACATGGGATTTTAATATAAACTTTGTTTACCTGAATGAGCTAGTCTTCTTCCCACAAGTGGGCTGTCTAGCAACAATCGCCGCAGAGACCAGCGGCCTAGCACACCACCGCCCCAACCGCACCCTCCGCCGCTGCTAGTGCTGCTGCCACCCCGACGCATCCCGTCTCTTTCCACCATCACAACATGCACATCACACAACACAACCGCTCGTATTATTATTTAAGTATACACTGCCATAAGGTGGCAAAAGTTGAGTTCGCGCCGAAAACTTTGCACTACTCTACAAATTATAACACTGACAAAACATCAGCGAGAGAAAGTGATGATAACCATGAGGTATGTACAATGTACGTGCCTGCGCGAGCGTTCTTATGCTAAGATGCAGTTTACAGGAAAGGATCGAAATCCCACTAGAGGAATCATCTTTAATAGTCAACCATTAAAAATAAGGTATAAAACGAGACGGTATGAATTTTTTGAAATTGAGAATCGTAAGGTGTGGGGTACGATGAATATGGGTAGTGTAATATTTTTATCAAATTCAAACACTAAAATCCAAGCGTCAACACCGCAACAATGCACGCAACTGTCAGACAGATCGGAATCGTCTCGTAATCGAATAACAGGCACAGCAAATGTCGGAGTAGTGATGTCAAAGGTTTACTTGTTCAATTCAAGAATCGAGTAAAATAGCGTAACAATTCTGGATTTAAATACATTGTGTGAGTATGTATAGGATAGCTGATAAGTTGCAAATTGTTCTTTTCATATTATTAATGTACATGCATGGACATATCAATCATTGAGTTCCGTGGTGGCATATAATTAATTTTATGTATGCAAAACACTATTTTACTTAACTCATGTTTAATTTATTTATTATCATGATAATAATTTAATCATCTTTAAAAATAGTATTAATTTTAAAACATTTCACCTTTGCTTATTCTGAAGACTTTGAAGTTTGATGGCTTAAAGATCCTCGATACCGAACCATAAAATACAAAAAAATAAAAGGAAGTTTGATTTGTCAAACAGTCAATGTCAAACAGCAACAAACAAATGTATTAATTCTGTTCTAATCTAACTTATTATTGTTATTATTGATACCTGTTAGATTGGATGCTACATTCATCCAATTTGTTTTATCATACATTTCTTTGTCAAATTAATCTTATCAGTTTTGTATAAAAAATGAAGTTAAAAATAAAAAAAATGAATTTGTTACTAACTGTGTTAATTTTGGTTCCCGGCGTCTTTTGTGAAGTTAATAAGTATTCTAAATCTCTTAATGAAAAATCAAAGAGCGATGTTGATTTTAGAACGTTACAAAAGCCATTTAGAATGAATAAGCTGAACATTTTATGGACAAAAGCTCAACAGGTAAGGAGATAATTCAGTATTTTTATCGTTAATGTTGTTGACTAATTAATAAACTCTATTGTATATTAATCAAACGTTTTTAAAATTCTATACTGGAAGAAGAAACTCTTTGTATTTTCTAGCGGCTTACTGAACCCAAGTTAAAGTCACTTTATAGCGATCTGATGATCCAAGACAAAGAAGAAATAACCTATAAACGAGTGAAGAGTGAAGGAGGTGATAAAGAAGGCCTAATAGAGGCAGAATTGAGGCGTAAACTTACCAATATTATGAATGTCTACGGACTTAGAGAACATTTCGAAGACAAAAATGTTGGCCGGCAAAAAATGGACCCAGTGAGTAAAAATCCATGTACATTTTACAAAAGTGTTTAGTTGTCTTGTTTCTAAAATTTATTGCCTAGTTATCTAGTTTTAATATACATATTTTTTTCCCATAACTTAATTTGTAAGTTCTAATATTATAAAGGCTGCAAAACACTGCAATCTTCTATGGTGTTTTTGCAAACAAATTGAATATGCCACAGAGTCAAATTTCCACCTCTCGCCGGAGATGCATAGTTTTTTTATTATACAATTTTTAATTTTATTAATTTAATTGATAATAATCTAGTAAGAATGTCATGGGGAGACTTAACAACAGAAGCCCCAATGGGTAGTTATTAAAACAGCAGTTTTTTTTTTTTTTTTAATTAATTTATATTCATATTAAGTCACTAACAATTTCTAAAAATGGGAGTATTAATAAAAATTGGTGGAAATGCTTACGTTTTGTAAAACAAAAATTAAAACTTGTTTTATTTACTTTGTGTTTTAGTTAATCTCTATCTTTTAGAGATTTTAATTTATTAATTGCTTTATGGTAAAAACATAAGATATAAATATTTAAAAAAATACTACTTAATTTTTAAATTAGACTGGATTAAATTGGGGTGCTCTGTGTTGGATCTGTGACTCATGTTCACTCTGGTGTGGCAGATGTCCATGGGCGGCAGTATTCACTTAACATCAGGTGAACCGTCTGCTCGTTTGGCAACTTTTCACATAAAAAAAGGTCAAAGTTTGTTAGTCCCCAACTCTTAATAATTTTGACCAAATGACATTTCCTGACCACTTTTTCCTTGTACAAAAAACCTCGAAATTTTCACGAACAGCAAGAAATTGGAGTTCAAGCTAGGTTCGTACTGAAAAGTAATCGAATTGAAGTCCAAAAACTTAGCCAAGTCAAAGCAAAAACAAACAAAACTGGAGGAAAGAACAAAAAACACATTCGCGTAAACTTGAGATCAACGGAATAACACAATCACAAACAAACGTGGAAATCGAAAGTGGTGATTAACGTGAAGTGAAAAGTCAATGAAAGGACAATGTCAATGTTAACAAAATGTAGGCTTAACCTTTCTTTAACGTCTTAAGTTTTTTGAATTTTAGAAAACAGTTTATTAAATTATTACGCATCTCCGTCAGAAAAAAATGGATTAGAGTGCTTGCTACGAACACTCTTAACCCCCCCCCCCCCCCCCCCAACATAAAAAAATAAATTAAAAATAAATATCCATAATATGTCATTGGATTCAAATAAATTGTGTAGTTAATACATGTTATGGGAATTCTGAAAAAACATGTTTTATTAAACATTATTGATCTACTAAACTTATAATAACATACTTATTAATTAATATTTTAGCCTGTGTATCATTAATGCTTTGTGATGTATGTTACAGCGCCAAAGCTGACTGAAACTCGAAAAAGGCATTTCTTTGTCCAGTTGAATATAATTATTGTATATAATATTATAAAATAAAGGCACAGCTTATTTTTCAGAGGCTGCGTAGCACTACCACATAATAATGATGATTAACTTAATTACGAATTAAAAATACTTGAAACAACTATTCTCTGCATTGTTAATTAGGATGTAACCGTTGCTCGAATTTTATTTAGCACGGTTACAAATTTACCACTCGGCACATTTAGTGGTGAATGTGAAATGCGAGTCTGAAAATAAAAATTTCAACAGGCGCACAACTCCGCCGCTGATGACTATATCAACAGAAGTATGTTCAAAGACAAGAAACTGAACATGCTATGGGCGAAGGCTGAGGCGTCGGGATTCACGCCCGAGGAGCTCTCGGCCCTGAAGGAGGAGTTCACGCATCACCAGGAGAAGATAGACCAGTATTACGAGCTGCTGGGCAACGTGGAGACAGACGGATATGAGGGTTTCAAGAGTAAGTGCTGCAGCTTCCCACATACCGTCAAATGCCCGGGACCATTTCTAAGTTGGCCTAAAACCGTCAAATTCTCAGATGGCCTAAAACCGTCTAATGCTCAGAATCATTTATAAGTTGGCTTAAAACCGCCAAATGCTCGGAACTATTTATAAGTTGCCCTAAAACCGTTAAACGCTCCAACGCTAGGAACGTAAACCTAGATGGGTCTACGTTCGTAATCGATTTTTATAAGCTGATTTTAAAATTTAGATTTACAAAAAGTACGAAAGGATTGTCGCCGCTCTGAGAATCGAACCCACGTCTTCGCATTCGCGGCCTGACGCTTTAGCCACTAAGCAAAACGGCTGATTGCCACACCGACGAAAATCTTAGTCTTTTATCTATATTGTTTTTTTACATACAATTTTAACGTTCAATCTTAAGTGCAGTGATTAGTACTAGAAAAGAAATTTAAATTTCTAAAAAGCCACGGATCGATTTTAATGAGATTTTCAGGCGATTTTAAGATTATACCCGCGATCTGACAACGTTTGGTAGCCAACGTAACAATATTTTTTTGGATTAATTCTACCCGTGCAAACCGGGGGCCGGTCGCCTAATAGATGATATTTTAAAAGATGAACACGAGAAAATGGATATTCGGTCTATTTTGATGGATTTTTTAAATGTAAAAACAACACACGACAATATTTTACTTCGCTCACCTTACAATCCGCATAACAGCAGCCCATTTGGTTTTTTTATGTGTTTTTCTGCGGTGGTAGGGCCACGCAGCAGCCTCGGCAGTTGCACGAATGGGCAGGCCCGTTCGGGTACCTACCACGACCTCACAGAAGACCAGCGTAACTTAACTGAGATATTTTCGCTAAGTGTGTCTTTCCTAACAATAGGTCTCACAGATTCCGTCTTATTAATTATCAAGTAATTAAGGAAAGGAGAAAAGCTCTCGTAAATTTAACTTTGGTTTTTGTCACTTCCGCTCTTCTTGACAACTGAGGTCACACACCTCAGTTGTGAAGAAGAGCGGATCTTGTATCATATTCAATTTCAATTTTTGATAATAATTTTGCCCTGATTTATGAGTAGTGTCATGTATATCGTTTAATGTTTTCTCTGTATGACATCACGCACGATGAATTTATCACGGATCTCATATCCAAATGGCACTAAAGTAGTGTAACAGCCTATAAATTTCCCGCTGCTGGGCAAAGGCCTCTGTACAGAGGGTATTATGGCATAGTCCACCTGACCTGGCGGCCCCACTGCGGATTGGCGAATTTCACATGTCTTCGAAATATTTTTTTTTATTATTTCGACAATATTCGGATTTCCTCGCGATGTTTTATATCACCGCTGAGCACGTGCTAAGTCGGCACTTTAAGTTAACCGGTTATCCGAGAGCTCGCTTTTAATACCGTACACTCGAGCAACTCGAGTTCTTGAGTCCCCGGGCCCCGACACCGATGAAATGTCACTAAAAAAATGCAAATTGATTTTATTTTTATCGCCGTCAGGTATTCTCCACCTCTGATGGGTTCTCACACAAAGATGTGAACTCTACTCGAGTACACGTCATGTAAAACGTAATTGTAAAAATGTCTGTAAGATATATTCTCGTCATCGAGTTTGCGAAGGTATATAAATAGCGTGCACCGTCTCAGCAACCTAGTTTGGCGTACACGCCGCAACCACTTGTCCCCCACAATAATTATTTCGAACCCGTCTCGTTACATCCAATTTGACAATCCGCAAATAGACCGGATTGCATCACGCGAGCTTGTTGTTTCATTACGTAGTTTCGCATTGATTTTTTTTTCTTCACTCTCCCGGAACTGATACGAAAAGCTTTAGTGAATATTGATTTTGTAATCATTTTAATTTTGAATTGCTTTGGATATCCTGTTTAATAGATATTATTTTTAACAATTATTTATAGTTAATTTAAAAACATATATCGAAATAAAATCCCAGATAATGCTTTCTTTATTTATTTAGATCGAATACATATCTTTACATATAAAAAAATAGCTTCCGTATGTTTGTCTACACAAAAATAAACGTGCCTGTTCTACATAAACTAAACGTCTTGTAGTTTATCTACACGAAACTACACCCTCGTGCGAAGGAGACAGGTTTAGTATTCACTACGCCATTTGTCGTCGAATGATTGCAGTTTCGAGTTAAAACATGTTCCGTTCTTCTTTTCATCATTACGAAGACAATTGCAGACGCTGTGAACGACGAGGAGATAGACCGCTTCAACGAGGTGGTCCCCGACACTAACGAGATCATCACCAAGGACTTCGTGGACCAGGCCAACCTGCTGCGCGAGAAGCACCGAGGCCTGCGCGACGGACTCGACCGGCTGCAGAGGATCGCCGCCAGAGGTCGCCCCCGTCGCTTCATCTATTACCTCATACAGACCTTAACATCCATCCCACCCATAATGACAGGCAGAGATTCGAAACCACATTCCACTGTCCACGCGCATCTGCACTGGTCATCCACATCCACCGAACTCCGCATATTTATTTTTCTTTTTTTTTTTTTAAAGTCCCTTATTGTAGGATAGCATTAGCCTGTGTTGTTAGGACGTTTTCCATACATTAACTTAACATGGACAAACAGCCCGATTGGAAACAGTTATCTGTGTGTCCCACACGGGAAATACGTGTCATAATAATTGTTCTGGATCTGGGTATTGGTTGTCGTACAGACAGCAAAAACCACTTACAACATTATTCATATGTGGCACACCGATCTATACGATACCTAGGTGGGATAAGGTCAGGAGGATTATGAATGTATTGTATTTTGCAGGTCCCACAAACAAGGAGTTCATAGAGCCAAAGGTGCAGGGGCTGTGGCGTATGGCGGCCGCCGCCAATTTTACCCCCGACGAGCTGGCATCCATAAAGGTATGACTGAATCACTACTTGACGTGTGTTTTTAGTACTACATTTGCTGGTGTAGAGTGAAGTTATATCACGAATATAAAGTGCTCTTTGAATAAAGGGCACGTATATACCTAACAATAACGTTATTTGCCATAAAAATAAGAACATATTAAAAAAAAATTAAAAAACCTATGTAAATCATACACAAAGTTCTCAGTGTTCAGTTTTCGTTTATTTTTAATAAGTCGATGCCTTCCTCGGAAAAACTACTGGATATATTTCAATTAATTCTCCTGAGTTTTCTATTTCTTATACACTGGGACCTTATCTCAAAAAATATTGTCATATCTTCATTCAATGTAAAGTTATAAGTTTTGAGAAACAATGATTACAAGCAGATTATAAGCAGTCATTTGTGTTTTATTGCCGTGGAGAAGTAGGGCAATAGTTGTTGATATAATAAGCAACGCATACGAATTGGCGGATATCAGCTAGTATATCATAATGTGTACAAACTCAATTACTAATTGCGTCTGCTGACATATTTTACATTTATTTTTAACGTATGTATATGTTAATAATGATTCTGTAAAAAGTGCTTCTCTATAAACGCATATGACTGACGGGAATCGAACCCACGACCTGATTTTTTGACGAAAATTTTATTATAAACTGACTAAACAGCATTTTAAGTGAGATGTAATAGCACTTGTACACTAAAGATTGTGTTGATATATTATCGTCTTAAAAACGTAATTTGTGACGGGAGGAGCAGTCGACATAATTGTTTTTTTTAACTAGATTGAAAGTAATTTATTTTAACGCGTCGGTCGTACGAAATAAATTTTGATTAGCGGAGTGGGCCAATAGCGTATGTTACTAGTTCTTTGACCCTCAGATGACGAATTCGACCACCCGAACTCACTTCAATGTGCGATGGGACTTGGGAGACGCCTATCTAAATGTTTTGTCTACCGAATCTCGATCCTAGACTATCAACCCACCTGATTTATGCCCGATTCCTATATTCAACGAACGGCCCTTAGTTACATAATTTTCATAACGACTCGTTGTAACGATTTCATAATGACTATGTAACTAATGTACATTCGTTGAATATAGCAACCGGGCATTAGTAGCGGTCGTTTGAAACGGCTGCATCGCCACTTACCATCAGGTGGGATGTCAGTCAAGTGCTAGCCAGAAAAAAATGTGCAAACATAAAACTTGCAATTTTTAATTTCTTAGGATGCGTATGAGAAAAATGTTTCAATTAAATGAATTAGATTGTACGCCAAAGCTCCAAACTCGTCGCAGCAACTATGAAGTTATTTAGGATTTAGATAAATTAACTTTGTTGTACGAAGACGAAACGCTATTTTATTATGTGGAATCTTAAAAAGTATAGCAATTAAACATTTTTCAGGCGGAATTGCAACACTACGAGTCGAGGCTGCTCAAACTGCGCCACCTACAGGCCGACCACGTAAGCAATCTAGAGAAACATCATACCAAGGTGTCGTATTGGCTTTTTTTAACTTTTTTTTTACACGTCTCAGATTTTAAGCCGAGAATTTAAACGCCTTTAGCGCATTTTGCCCGCGTTCTAGACAGTGAACGGTAAAATTGAATTGAAAACTATCATCAATGAGTACTAATCATAATTCTACCACAGGGATTTCAATGATAACTGTAAAAAAGATTTGTAACTTATCGTGTTTTTTATTATTTACATTTCGATGTCTGCCGAAGATATGACAATAAATATTTGTATTGAAATAATAAATATCAATGTAATCCTTATAGCTTTTAGAATGTCTTACATTATTTTTTCCTTCCATCGTTTTTTTTTTTTATTTAATAATTTTTTTGCGCTTTTAGTTCGTAGACTACATAAGCTTCAACCGGCACAGAGCCGTTACGGCATTTTCCCACGAGCTAGATAGCAGATAGATACTAAAACAAATTAATGTACCGGGGCGTTCACCGCGTGGTCGTAACCACGCATATTTATTTTATTTTTGGCAGTTACTTTTCTTTTGAAAATGTAAAATTATATATTTTGTAGTTTTTATAGCAATACATCAGTGATAATCACTATATACTGTTCTACGTGGTTAGGCAATAAGTTATTTTTTTATATTTTTATTACATTTATAAAACTCTATCAAACCTTCGAGCACTCCATTAAAGCGTTTGGTGTTTAATAAAAGTAGTTGTGAAAGTTTCTATTAGTACTTGAGAAGTTTATGCAAAAAACTAGAAATCAATTGGTATGGATGATATTATGCTATTATATGTCAGATTGTGAGCATTGTATACCACGAACACTTCTCAAAAGTAGCAAGTCAAACCATATTGGATTTGAGATTTATTAATCTCAAAAAGAAATTTTTTCCTCTGTCCTTGCTTTTTTTGTAAAAAACGACCAATCTCAGAGTTATTGCGGCTGTATTTTTTAAAACGATGTTAGAGTCGTTTTTAATAATTTCACAACTTTCATCAATAACGTACTACCTTACAAACATTATTTGAAGTTTATTATTTAACAAATCTTTAATATAGGTAATTATAATTGTCAGGTGGCCGCCGCCGGTGACAAGATGGACATGTTCGCCAATCAACAGCAGCAGATCAAGAAGCACTCTAGAAAGGTCGAGAAGATGCACAAGGACCTGGAGAGCAAGATCCGCGAGCGGCACGTAGAGCTGTAGAAAAGTAGTAGTCCTGTGCGTATTAAGATACGCAATTCCAATGGCATTTATATGGATGTTATATTTTTTGTATCAATTTTCAGTGTCTGATAAATGTTATCAGAGATCCTTTTGGTTTCAGTAATTAAATCTAAGTCTTAAATTAGATTAAAGATCATTTTTTTAAAAGGTACACTTAAGTCTTAATGATAAAGTCTACTCATTGTAATTTAATTATCTTTCTCCTTTAAAACAAAATAATAATTTTGCACGATCTATAAAACTGTCTTTTGATAGTAGGTATTTGTTCTAAAAAATGTTCAGATTTTATATTATATACAAGTTGTATAAAGTTAAGTTTTAATATTTTTTTTATATTTGTATACTTTACTAAGAAAAAGTCAAAATAAGTTTTGAATTTATTAATATTTAAATATTCTTGAAGTTATACTTCATTTGGCACGTTTGGAAAAAAATATGAAAATAGAATTTTTACGATGCTTGATCATCGAGAGCCAAAAAAGCGACATTATGTAATTGTTTGCAAAGCGACCAATATCATGGCAGCCAATAACAACTTGACGACATTTACCTATAATTGCATTAATGTTTTTTTCGCAGACTACTAGCACAAGGGATAACATTTTTAGTTATTTTCCTTTTATTACCTAAAGAAGTATAACTTCTTACGTGCGTAGATAAGTACGCACATACTTTTTTTTCTATCCAAGAGAATTTTTATGTCACAAATAAGATAACATTACACATATTCTTTTAGTTAAATCTTATCTCTGTGTACGTAAGTTGGCACATATTGAATCTCTTTACAATGTATCACCTATTTTAAAATAGCAACAAGGAAAATGTAATTGTATATGGATAAACTATTTGTGTATTGTATTATAGTTATTGAAGGATGTAAAAATATAATATCAAGTGAAATGAGGTTTTAATAATTTATATACTCCTTGTAAAATACGCAATATTTAACGGTTATTCGTTTCCAATTAAGTGAAAGAAATTTGTGATTGCAGCGTACAAAAGTTAAGTATCTTCTCCATGTACTTATGTTAAAATTGGCAAAGAATATTTTTTTAATGTGATAATAAGCGGGCTCCAGCTACCTCGCTCAACAGACGAAACGCAGAATTATGACCCTTCCACTTCACGCCGGCCTTCAACCGAAGGGTTAGGTTGTGGTACTTACCCGGAACAGGGCTGCCCCGTTGCGTGGCCCCACCAGGGCAAATTTTTGCTTGAATTGAAAATCAAATTCTTTCACGAAGCAACAACATTAAGGTTCAACAAATTCTCACAACGGTGCTGATGATAAAAAAGAAACGAAAGAATTTGTTTAAAATATATTTCCTATTATATTTAGTTTATCATTTTCAAGGAACCATTTCGCTGGCGTGGGAGGTATAACAAACTTAAATCACGGACTAAGTAGATTCAGATTTAGAACTACATATCTTCTTCATCATTTCAGCCTGTTTCAGTCCACTGGGGAACGAAGGCCTCCCCTCACAGACTGCCACTACAACTATACGTGGATCACAGAAACAGTCCGCGCGGGAATCGAACCTACTTCACAGGTGCAATGGCAGTTGGCACGATAACCTAAACCTTTCCATGCAGACAATATAACATATATTTCTTATTTTTACATGTAAAAACTTGTAGTAAATTTTACCGATACCAATTCCTATTGCAACCTATATGTGATAAATGACCTCTAGAAATGGTAAATGAACTATACGAAACATAAATGAACTCTAGGAATGATAAATGAATTCTAGGTATATAGGGCAGAGACATCACAGAGTTATGCCAGTTATCATAAATCATCTAAATACCAAATTTATTTCTCTTCACTCCCAAGTAACTATTAATACAGTTGAATCTGCCAAACTGTGAATAGCCACTTGAATAAATTTATTGGAGTTGTTCAAGCGCATATGCCATACTTTCCACTGGTATAGTACATCATTCATTAAAATAATGCCCAGTGATTTCACAAGACTAAACTTGACATTATTTGTCACTTCTCATCGCTGGATTACAGACATGATCCCTAATTTTTCAAACTCAAATTTTATCACAGTTATCACAGTCCAGTAGAAAACCAACCAATAGTTTTGTTACATACTCACCTTTAAGATTATTTAATTATATAATTAGAAAAGATTGTACTTTATTGCTCAACATTCTATGTGCTTATGGACGTTTGTCTTTGTCATATATTTTTACGTAAAATGTATGTTTTTATGTATGTATGTAGCTCCAATATGTACCACATAAAAGAAATACATAAGAAAAATCTAAACTAAAGATCAGATTTATCAAACTAGAAAAGGATAAGATGTAGCAATCAATCATAATTTATAGTAATAAAATGATTACTTTTATTTCTTAAATTTATAACAGTCATTCATATAGTAGTAGTTTATTCAGCTTTATAATATTCATTCGTTTTACAATTAATTTTATTTTTAGTGATTTCAACACTCAGATGAAACTTAAAATGTGATTTTTATTTTGTAGAAAAATTGATGTAAAATTTTCGGCGCTGTAGGGTTCAAACATTTTAAATTCAAAGTATGTACTGTATGTTCTTTGTATTGGTGATTTTTATGATATTGAATGTAAATATAAGTCAACATAAAGTAAAAGGATATTAAAAAAATCAATCGAATATATTTACAATCAAATTTCCTTCCGAGAATTATCTCTTGTGAATGATACTTGGGCTTCGTTCATCAAAAACAACTCAATATATTTTGACATCGCTTTATTTGCCCGGAGTTTACCGCACATCCGGCGTTCAATCATATTCGAGACAAAAGCAAGTTCTCGGTTAATAATTTATATTTAAATATACACATTACCCAGACAGTCCTATTAAGTAACAAGAGAGAACTATGTGAAAGAGTAGGTGGTATTAAAAACAGCAGTTGTTACAGTGCATCAATATATGATATTTAATCTTCATGTACAAGCAAATTTATCAATACACGTTCAATAATCGGTTCGTTCGCGTACCAATGATCCGTATGAAATACCTTATTATGCCGTAACAGTGTAAAATATGTATAACGGGGGCTGCGGCGGCGCCCCAAAAGGCAACGAAACGCAGCTGGCAGCGGGCTCACTGGAATCACATTCCGAGCTACGTAGCACTGGGCGCCGGCGCGGCGGCTACGGCGGCTACGACGGCTACGGCGGGCTACGTCGGCGCGGCGCCGACAACAAACTAGAATTCGTCTAAATATAATCGCGGCAGTAACAAATAAAACTACATCCGGCTCCCCTCACGAGACTCATTGCTATGAATCGTTTAATGTCACTTCAGTCGATCGTAACACAGATAGTTCTCATCTCGATAGGACTTTTTCTCTATTATGTATATAGATAATCTGTATAATATAATTCTTTCTCACTAATATCTACACCGTTTCCAAGGGTTACAGTTACATATAATCCTCGCGGGCTGGCGCCGGTGCGGCGTGCCGACCGCCTAGTGCGTCCATTTGCTCCAGGCTTGCTGCAACAATTAATAAAAATATAATCACAATATTGACACTGGAGTCAAAAAAATTTCAAAGTCTACAGATGTTGGAACTCAATTCATTGTGGGATAATATTTATTCTTATTTTTTTCCCATTGCCGGTACACAGCGTTTATAGTTAATGTAATAACTCGACTTTCTTTTAAGATGAGTTAGAACAGGAATACTGTCCGAACTTGTTTTGTCAGTAATAATAAAAAAGGATATCTTAGGAAGATACTTGTGCAGGGATATACATTATTACATATAGATAGACAGATATATATATATTAAGACATACAAATATAGGTTATTTTAATTTCACACAGTAGTATAATAGCCATTGACTACTTTGTTTAATTAATGTGTGGTATATTTTAAGATTGTACACCAGAAAAGATCAAATACGAATATACTCATCACTTCAGTATAATATCTAATAAGATTAACATAAAAATATGTAGGTAAAACTCTATTAATTGACGTGACTATCGGTCAGTCACATGCAATGAGGCGGAAAGACGTCGAAGAAGGGGGCGAATTGAGCGCGCTCACCTGCTAGTCCGCCAATCCGCATTGGTGGACTAGCAGGTGAACCTCTGTACAGAGACCAGGGCCTTTGCCCAGCAGTGGGACACGTATAGGCTCTTAATTTTACTTCACTTTACCTGCTTGTCGGCGGCGTGGTGCTGGTGCTGCTGCTGCTCCCAGTGCTGCTGCTCGGGCGGCAGGTAGTGCAGCGGCAGCGCGTGCATGAGCGAGAGGGCGGCCGCGGTGGCGCCCCCGCCGCCGGCGCCGTACGCGCCCTCCATGCCGTGCGCGCCGCCCACGGGCCCGTGCGCGCCCACGCCCACGCCCACGCCGCCCATGCCGCTCACGCCCTGCGGTCACGATGACGGCGACAGTTAGCACGAATGACAATAGCGAAGGCGCACCACATAGTTTTAGCGCATCGACCGCGCTCGATTTTGAGCTGTGTCTCAGTGATTTTGCGTACGCTACTACCAGAGGCCGCCCGTTCACCGCGCGATATCCAAAACATTGGCGATCCTAATTACAAATTGTACTTATTTCAAGGATTCGAACTGTATACATTTAATGTGGAGTTAGTATATCCTTCATTGCATCCTACTAAACTGGACTCGCAGCTAAAATTGGTGATAGGTGGTGGTCGACTACTACTTGTTTAATGTATGTACATGTAATAAGAAAAATATAAAATACGAAGATGTATTTAAAGAAGGTTAGCAATTAGAAAATCTCTATCTATGTTTACGGAATTCTCATCCGGTCTTCTTTGGAGAGAATATTAAACTAGACTAGTACTCGAGACACCGAAGGCTCCATTAGTCACCATTGAAAAAGCACTTTTTCGAGTGTGGCGTCTGCAACTCAATGTTCAATGTTCATTTAGGGCACCTGGTAGCGGTCGTGGTCGGGCAGGTGCGCGTGGTGGGGCATCGCGTGCGGCCAGTCCTCGCCCGCGGTGAGCTTCCAGGCGCGCTCGGTGCCGATGGGGCGCGGCTTGCGCTCCTCCTCGTCGCCGCCCCAGCCGGGGCCCGCTGAACCGGCGCCCACGCCCACCCCCACGCCGACGCCTCGCTCCAGCAGCGACTGCCCACGCCCAAACAACGTCCACGTATCAATACGCGTGTCAAACAACATTCAGACAACCAATCTTGATGTAGCATCAAACAACTTGTTAAGTATGCTTACAATTTCAAATGCTGTTTTACAACATCCATCAAACTAATGGCTAAAAACAACCGAAATGTCAGTGAAATAATAAAAAACGGTCTGTGTTTACGTGAATACTACACATTGTAAAATAAAACTACCTACACAAAAAAACAGTGTTTGAAATTATGGGAATTCAAAGCATACTGTTTAATCCGCAAATTACTTTTATTAAACAATAAAAAACGAGTTCCGATTATAATAGAGTTCATCGGTCAATAGATCAAACCCCCTTTTCACAAAGAAACCCTTTTCCAAGCCATAGGAAATATTGTGTCCCTGTTTACTGTTAATATTGGACATTTTATTCAGAAACCCGTGTTGTCTGCGTAAGGTTCACGCACCTGATATGGGTGGTGTGGTTGCTGCGCGTGCGGCATCGGCTTCGGTGTCGCTTGTTGGTAGGACATCAGCAACGTGCTCAGGTTGCCGGCGTTGTTGCCGCTGGCGAACAGCTGCTGCGATTCAAACGTTGAATAAATACCTAAGATATATTTTATCTTGTCCCAAACTAAGCAAAGCTTGCGCAATGGCCGCTAGATAATTGCTAAATCATACTAAACATAAATAAAAATGAATGTTGATAAGTGTATATCTCAAGAATGGCCGGACCAATTGGGCAATAATTTTTTTATGTTCCTTAAGGACCACAGAAGGTTTAAATACTATAAAAGAAACGATGTCTGCCCAGACAGCACTCGCAAAATCTTCATCACACAATATGTTTCCAGTAACTCCACTATTAATGTTAAGTATACAATAAAATTATAATTTTTAAGTAACCACCTGACACATAATAAAGCTCAAATTATAACCAAGATACTTCTCGATCATGTCAGCTGTGAAACAAAAAAACCTTCAAGGTGGTAGGGCCACACAGCAGCCTCGGCTGTTGCACGAATGGGCAGGCTCATCCGGGTAAGTACCACGACCTCACAGAAGACCGGCGTAAAGTGGACGTATAATACTTTCGCGTTTCGTCTTGTGAGTGAGGCGGAGCCCAATTTTCAAAAGGTTGTGTCAACGCATCTGGAACCCTCGGGTGTAGCAGATGTCCATGGGCGGCTGTATTCACTTAACATCAGGTGAACCGTCTGCTCGCTTGGCAACTATCACATAAAAAAAAACCTCACCATAATCGGTCCATTCGTTTTTAAGCTACAATGACACAGACAAACACACATATACATAGACACGTGAAACGTATAACACCACTCGTTGTCGAGTTCTACATCTGTTGACCAGAACAATACCCCTGCTTAGTTCTAGTGCTAGTAGTACTGTGATTCTAGAGAAGCAAGTAGGTCTTTTTCTTTTCGAGTCAAATTAGGTACGTGAATTAAAATAAGCAAGTAGGTACCTGGGCATTATGCTTGTGCTGCAGCAGCGGGTGGCGCTGCGCGAAGTCCGGCGCGCGCGGATTGAGCCGAGACACGCTCTCCACGCCCACGTAGCCCAGGCCCAGCGCTGCGCCGCTCATGCCCACGCTGCCAGACATCGACACCGGCTGCGGAGGGTTGGGGCTACCGTCAACTGATTTCCCACATGATACTTCCAAGGTAGTGCCAAAATGTAATAGGCGAGCTTATGATACTTCCGCGCCATGGGCCCAATATGTAATAGGCGAGTTGCCAAGGTATTGACTTCCGCGCCATGGTATGTTGGTTCGATTCCCACACGACACAACTTTCTCTACACCATCGTAAGGTTGACTGGTAGAAAATGCCATTGGCATTGAGTCCGCTTATGTACCAGTTTCTGCATAAAGTATAAGTAAATAAATAAATTACTTTTGTGACCCACAGATAATTGTTTTGGATTTGGGCGTTTTGTACATATGAAATTTCAGTAAGTATTAGTCTTAAAGTTCTACATAAAATATAAGTGTTTGTACTTTAACATATTTCAGGTGAGTTAGTCACTTCTTTATTAAAAGTTTCACATATGCAAATGTTGTAGATATAAATGGACAACCGCTGTGGGTGCTTAACATCAGATGAACCACTCCCCTATTCACTTTCATGCTCGAAATAAAAAAAGATATATCAATCTACTTTACCATCATGTTGTGTCCATTTCTGGAGTTGTCTTGTTGGTAGATAGGTCCATTCCGGGATAGTCCACTCAAATCCATCGCATTGACGGTGTTACCTAAAAAAATTACACCAATGGTTATATGGTCATCCTTCGACTGGACTCACTATCTATTTCATAATCAGTCATTTAGAACTACCTATGCAAATGATCAATTGGATTGAAAATGCCCTGCAAGTGCAATAGAAATATCTTGTTCACTTCTCTGTATATGAAGTAATGTTAACAAAGGATAACCAAGTGCCCAGGTAACAATGAGAGGTTTCAAATGGGAATAAATCCTACATAACCATAGTCTACCTACTTGAGATCTGTTTTATTCAACCTAGGTTTAATAATTGAGTGCACTTATTGATTGTCAAAATACTATTAGCAGTTGACCATTCGTTCGGGCCATTTTTTTAAGCATTTTTCGTCAAAGCCAAATATCTTTATTCAATATAGAGAAACATTAAACATTAGAATTACTTATTGATTGTCAAAAAACTCTACTACCAGTTCGGAAAAGGAACCACTGACCTGAGAAGAACCGGCGTAAGAAACTCAGCGGGACATTTTTTTTACTTAAAAGTTTTGACATTGAGAATAGGTTTACAATATATCATAGTCCAATTGAAGGAGAAATCACAACACTTTTAGATATAGAAAACAAACGGCCGCCTACCAAGCGAGGAGGGCGGGTGCTGCTGGTGTTGCTGGTGCTGTTGGTGCTGCGGCAGCGGCGCGTGGGCGGCGTGTGTGCCGTGGGCGGGCGGGCCGATGGGCATGGGCGCGTGGTAGGCGGGCGGCGCGGGCGGCGCGTAGGCGGGCGGCGGCGTGGAGCCGTGCGAAGAAGCGCGCGAGCACGGCGAGCAGCCGCCCGCCCCGCCGCGGTAGCCGGGCGCCTTGCTCGCGTCCACCTAAGGGCGGAGTGCGGACTTCAGCAGGCGGCCAGTGGATGCGGTGTCTTTGATCGCACATTTGCCGCATTCCGTGTGGGGATAAATGTGAATCGGTGGCGTGTTTTCTCTTTTTATTTATTTATTTGTTTGGATATGGTTTGCACAGCTATTGGTTGCTCGCGTCCCCCTGCGAGCGGAGTGCGGACTTCAGCAGGCGGCCAGTGGATGCGGTGTCTTTGATTGCACATTTGCCGCATATTTTTTTTGTTTTGGTCGGCTTTTATCTACATAGATACTCCAAACCCATAGTAACTTACACAAGTCATAACAAATTACGAATAATCCTTTAAATTATAGATTTAGAGACATCTGTTTGTTGAATGCCGCAAATACTTTTTAGCTTCGGATTGGTTCGGACGCCGTGGATCGTGGGCGCGATTCCCGCACGGGACAAGTATTTGTTGGCCCACAAATAATTGTTCCAGATCACGTTAATAGCCACATAGCCAAAACTGCTTTCGACTGTGACAAACCCACCTAGGTGGCATAAGGATAAGGGCTTATGAGTGTGAATAAATATGAGTATTGACTATGTATCATCACATAAATGATTTCCACACATGTGGTTCCATTAACAGTTCTGAAAAAACAAATAGTTGTGATGTGATGAAAACAAATGTAGTGACCCACACATTATTGGTTCGGATGTGGGTGTTTGTCTAAGTGAAATTTATGTTTATAAAATGTCCTTGCAAAACAGGATAACATTAACCTACATAAGTGCAATATTTAGAAAAACAAAGCAAACTAACATTTATATAAAAGTAAGTTTATAATTTCCAAAAGAATTACAAACTATATTTGAAATAATTCTTGACGTTAGTCTCTATACTCAAGCAACCTGAGTATGAATTCCAGTGTCTGAACCAATAAAATTTTAAATGCTGATTTATAATTTTAAAGCTTTCAATGTGTTGCGGTGATAAGATATGACTGTTTAAAAAGTAAATTCAATAAATAATTATAACCGATCAATCGGGTCGGTGAGAAAGATCAAGGCAAATTCACCAATAGCGACATAGTGGCGACCTGTGGCGGCGGCGGGTCGACGTTGTGGTGAGCGTCACCAGCGCCACCCCACATGCCACCACCTGCCACCGACAGGTCCTTGAACAGCGAGTACTCCAGGGTGCCGCTGCCACCGCTCTGAAAACAACACCACGCACGGTTAAGGTACTCTCGAAAATAGCTTACAACACGTCAATTCAATGGCGAATGTAAATAAAAGTTTACTTCTCAGTACTAAGTGCAATGGCCAGTTAAATATAACATGGTTTGGTATTGGTCAGAAAAAAAAATGGCTTCAGTTGCATTGGTATTCTTAGTGATCATTCAAAATTTCAATTAAAATAATTTTATATATTATTGTGACCACCATTTACCGATTCCCGCAGCGGCGAAAAAATTTCGTCCATTTTTTCACTATGTGTGTATGTAAATATGCTTATTTGACCACCATATAAAGAGAAACTTTTAAGGTATAAGCAATCAGGCGGTCTTACCGGTAAAGAGCTATATCTTCCAGACAACCTAGTGGCTAAAACTATATTACTTTTGACAATGGTAGGTAGTGCAAATGATAAACTGACTAACATCTAAATAAACTAAACAAATATGTTATATAACAATAATAATTTACTAATTTATATATAATAGTTAAATACAATAGACATACATAAAAACAAACATATACTATATGATGAAATACAAAAATACAGGGAGAAAAAGAATATAAATATAAAGGTCGTCGAAAAACAGTGCCAACACAGTGACAGTGATATTGATTTTTAACGTCAGTTTTCAGCTTTCCCAACTTTTATGAACAATGAATTTGTGGAGGATTCCATAGGCGCAGTAGAATAGCGTAAGAATAAAAAAGAATAAGAAGTAAGAATTCCATAGCGTAAGAAAAGGTTTACCTGCGGTGTAGTGTTGATGTGCAGCGCGGTGGAGGTGTTAGGGGGCGCCTCTTCGGCGCCGCTCCAGTTGGCCGCCTCGGGGCTGACGGGCAGAGCTTCCAGGCGTCGCGTCTCCTCCTCGCACTTGCCGGCCGGAGGGGACTCTCGGGACTTGAGCGGGGAGCCAGCAGGGGCAGCGTTGCCGCTGGGGCTGCTGGCTGCCGTCTGCGGGGGATAACATTCAAAATTTAGTAGAGATAGTTAATCGGAGCCGATTACATAGAAACAAGTCGACATGTATCCAATGTCCAGCGTGAACAGTTCTAGTAATATACTAACATGCTGGTTCAATAATCATTTTTTTAAATCGGTCATTTCAGTTGGAAAACGGAATTTCCAAAAAATGAAGGCGAGCCATTTTTCGGAATTTCCGACCGGCTCGCATTTTTTTTTGTATTTTAATGGCAACCATTGTTTCTAAATACATCCCTGTGTTTGGGTTTTTATTAAAGCATCAAATACATTTGCTCATCCAATATTGTTACAATAATCGCTAGAAGAAAATTGAGTCCCAATGACCACTGCAACCTGAAAATAATTAGTATTGTCTACAACATTATCCTGTATTATAAAGACGCTAAGCTACATAAATAAATTTGACTTGGGAATAACACCCAGATGCGAAACAACTACCTGCGGTTCACACAAATGTCTTGTCACAGTGGAATCCACGATCCCCGACACCGTAGTCAATACCTTCCACGCCAAGGAATCATTAGGGTAGTTAAATAAGCGATTGGCATTAGGTATTTCTTCCTAACCTGCACCGGTGGGCGTTGGGGCTTCGCGGCGTCGGCGGGCGGGGCGTTGGCGGTCGCTGGAGCGGCCGTCACCTTGGCGGCGAACGTGTGCCCGCGCGCGCCTACGATGGCGCCCGTGTAAGAGAGCGCGCCCGGCTTCGTAGCGTTGGCGCCGCTCGTAGCGCACGGCGTAGCGGGCGCGCTCGTAGCGCCGGATGCGGTGGAGCTGGGCGTGCTCGACGCCACCGGCCGCTTCTCGGCTACCGGGATGGCTGCCGAGGAAAATTAATATAATACCTCCTTTTATGAAATATTGAATTGAGAATCAAGTCAAGTAGAAATGGCTTGCTCGTCATATATACAGTTTACATCAAATAGGTCTAAGATGGGTCATGCTAGAAACTGAATCACGACATTAGACAGCCTCTCGACGATCAGTCTCTTTTGTAGTTGTACTTCTTTCGGCGTATTTCGGAAAAATGATGAGTGGCTTTCTACGGTGTCACCCAAGTTATCTAATTAAACCATTACCAATTTCATTTAATGACTTTTTTAACAAACAAACAGTACTGGCAAACAGGATAAAATTTTAAGTTTATTTTCTTTTATTACGCTAAAGAAGTATAACTTCTTAAGTGAATATACATATGTATTTTTTCTTTTTGTATATAAGAAGGATAGCAAGCGAGTGAACTGTGTTGCCTTATCGCTCCTTCTTAGGGCTTGTCTATATTCTCGAAAGAATGGAGGCACGTACGGTGCGCGTGCAGCCTGGGCGGCGGAGCGCGCGCGGCCGCGTGCTGCTTGGTGGGCGCGCGCGAAGTGGGCGTGGCGCGGCTGCTGCTCCCCCCGCCGGCGCCGCTCCCGCTCACACCCGCCTGAGGTAACGCACATGCACATGCTCAATGAAACTAACTCCAACTAGACTTGTCCCGCCACCGTGGACGCTGTAAAGTGCACGACTATGTCTTGTACATTTATAATAGAGGGTAAAATAATTTAGATAATCGAAAATATATAATGAGTACATTTCGTAGTGGTAAAATACATACATACATTTTTGTCTATCTGGCCTCCATACTAAACGAGTAAAACAAGAAGAATTTAATATAGAAAATATTAGTTTTAATCTACCGCCCACGGACATTTGCAACATTCGTGGGGTTGCAGATGTGTTGCGAACTTTTTACAGGCGAGCTACGGCTAGCTCACCTACCACGCGAAACGCTGAAGACGTATTCTTCCACTTCTCAGAACGGACTTGCTCATTCGTGCAACCGCGAGGACTGTTGCAAGGCCCTATCACAACAGTTGATCAGATCGCGTCTCCGACAGGGGTGCCGTTACGCAGGGTCGCACTTGATCAGATCGCGGTTACGACAGGGGTGCCACCGCACCGGGTCGGACTGTTGTGTGACAGTTGTTCAGATCGAGGCTCCAACAGGGGTGCCGTTACGCGGGGTCGCACCTTGGGCGGCGGCTGCTTGGGCGGCTTGGGCTGCGGGGGCTGCGGCGTGGGCGGCGGCAGCTTGGCGCGCGGCAGCAGCTGCGCAATGTCCGCCTCGGGGTCGCGGATCATGGCCGCGATCAGGCTCGCCGCCTGCTTCGTCGCCTCCGCAGAGCCCCTGCGGAGAGATAGCGCACGCTTTATCTTACACTGTCCTCTGCGGAGAGCGGCAGCGTTTGTGAGCCGATGACATCGTCTTCTTACGTCTCAATGGCACAGTAAACAGACAGAAATAAAAATAAAACATGGATAAGTACGTAAAGATGGATTCACACTTCGTAAAAAGTAAAATAAAATAAAAAAAATAAAAAAAAGGAACAGTAATACATTGCACAAATAACAACATCAAGTTCGTTACGAAATATCTTGAAGTGTCTTATCAAAAAAACCCTTGTTAAATTTGTTAAATTTAAAACACTTGTTAAATTTAAATAAAATAAAAATATGTAAAGTTTCTTCTATATTTGCCTAACGTTCGACTCACTTGATGGTGATGATGCGCTCGCCCTGGCCCTTGCCCTGCTTGTCCACCTCGATGTGGGCGCCGGTGGCCGAGCGGATGGCGTTGATGTTGCTCCCGGCGCGGCCAATCACGCGTGAGATCGCGTGCGCGCCCACCGACACCTTCTTGCACCTGCCCACACCAAAATAGTTAGGAGTTCAATGAGACAGAAGAGAAAACGCATCTGTGACCCTCGGGTGTAGCAGATGTCCATTGGCGGCCGTACTGATCACTTAACATCAGGTGAACCGCCTGCTCGCTAGCCAAATTTTCACATAAAAAATAAAAAAACTCGCAATAAAGTACGGGCGCTCGCTTTTATTTCTGCCAATATCAGATGATACAAAAAAAATTGTTGTGCTTCGGTGTTCTCACAATGACTTTTGTATAATTTATTCGTAAGGTATACTAATGAAATGGTCACAACGGGGTTGACATATCCAATTAGGGAGAAAATTCCCAAAAGAAATTATGATTAAAACTAATATATGGGAATTACTCACCCGGGTTCCACCGTTGAGAGGGTCTGCACACTGGACTTTCGCACGACTTCCTTCCAGCCCTCTTCTCGGCGACCACCCACGCAGCCACCCTTGGGGGAAGTGCTCTTGCCGTCCGTCTCCCATCTGCAAGTTAAGCCGACAACAATTTCAATATCCGATTTGGCACCATCTTAAATATTACATATTTATGTTGTTAAATAAAATTGATTTACCGCATTTCATAATAAAATTATATCAATGTACATTGTTAAGAGAAAAAAAAAAAGAAAACAAAAATCAATGTCAACAGTCTGCGTTTAAGCATGCACTAAACTATTGTATCAATAAAAATAAAAACATATAGCATGCAATTAATAGCGTCACTAAAAAATAAACACCTAATACATCCTAAAATTTGCATTTAAAACCGAATGACACTTTCTAATGCTCCTGTTAAGATGTAGGCCATAAAGAAACCCAGGGCGTCAGGTCCAACAGACGACACTGACAACTATGAGCCAGTGTTTTGACAGATTCGAGCCGGGATACCGTTACCGCTGACACTGATTTTCGTTCCCACATTGCACTGGGGTCGACTTACTGATGGTTGGCGTGAGCCTTTCTCATTTTGTCTGTTGCATCACTGTCGTCTCTCTCCACATTGTGCCTGGTGGATTCGAACACTTGGCTCTTTCTAGAGCTACCGGCGAATTTGCCAACGCTCTGTACCATAATACTCTTAGGGCTATCCTCGTCTGTTTTTCTGCAACAACGTTAATGCCTACGTAAAATTTTGAGAGTTGATATCTCTTGAACAGAGAAGGGAGAAGAGTTGTTATCTTCCTTAAACGCCGATATGAACAGTGAGAAAGAGAAACCCGGACTTGGAAAGAGCTCTTACGATTGGCTTTACTTGCAGTGTATAATTATATAAATATTTTGTTATTCCCATTATATTTTCACTTTATGTTTCACGTTGTAAATGTTCTAGCGAAAGACAAACTTCGTTAAGGCGGCATTGTTATTCTACACTATATTTACTGAAAATAAAAATTTTTAATTACAGCTTTGCCAGTACAGGCGAAAACTACAGTAAAATCTGTTTTAGTTATGTTTTTAATAATTAAATTTTATAATAAATGGAATAAGCACAAAAATAAAAATAAACATGCAAAATACAAGTAAGATATATCTGCAAAAATAATATGTTATCTATTTGGCGTATTAAAGACTGCCTAAAAAATCTTTTTTTACTTTTAATAATTTGAACTTGGGAGCTTCTTAAACATTATACACATAGGTATATTGTTATAAGATTTCCTTAATCCATTATTTCTAATGCTGAATCGTTCAAATGCCAAACATCTTATATGAATAACTAATTACAGAAATCCATCCCTTTAATAAAAGCATAACATAATTTACATTCGTAGGCAGAATAATACTAAAATTAAACAAAATCCGCAGAATATGTACAAAGAAAATGAAGCGCACAAAAATAATGGTAATACACTCAAATAACAAGCCCATTAGTCTGATAATGAGACAGTTGCGAGCGTGTGAATCCATGAGTCTCAAACTCATGTGTGTGTGACTTGTGAGTGCGTGGGTGTGAGTGCGTGTGGGTACGTATGAGTTCATAGGTGTGAGTGCGTGTGTGGGTGCGTGTGTGGGCGCGTGCGTGTGAGTTCGTGCGTGGGAACGTTTGAGTTCATAGGTGTGAGTGCGTGTGTGGGTGAGTGCGTGTGTGGGGCGCGTGCGTGTGAGTTCGTGCGTGGGTACGTTTGAGTTCATAGGTGGGTGAGTGCGTGTGAGGGTGAGTGCCTGTGCGCATACGCACTTTTCCTTGCGGTCGGGGCGGCGGTCCTGCGGCGGCGGCTTGGCGGGCGTGGCGGGCGGCGAGCTCGGTGCCACGTTCTCCTTCTCCTGCTTCTTGTCCGCCTTGCCACTGCTCGCACTCTCCGCTTTCGCTTCTAACTTCACTTTCACCTGAACCAAACAAACACTTCAGTATACACAGAGATTTATATCTAAACTAGCGACCCGCCCCGGCTTTGCAAGGGCGAAATGTATTATACATTAACCTACCTCTTGAATCTATCTAGTAAAAAACCGCATCAAGATCCATTGCGTAGAAGATGTAAGCATACATAGGGACAGACAGACAGACAGACAGCGGAACGACTTTGTATACTATGTAGTGATACAGGCGTGTGATAGTGATATATTTCTAACATGTTGTTTGTTACATAACCTAATAATCTGCATAAGGTTACTATTAAATGTTAACTTTTTCTGTAAATTTGAAAATTAATGCGTCTTCTAAAATGTTATCTATAATTGCTTTAAATGGTATGTGAGAGACATTTTTATGAATTGTCTACAACTTTAGTACTATTCTTCAGATGAATTAAAACTATCAATACCATTGTTACGTAACTAGTTACATATTGTTAATATACACTAAAGTTTACATGATTGTACTCACTTTATCAGGCTGTTTCTTAGGCTGAGTGGCGGCCGGTGGTGGGGTACTCTTGTCGTCTTTCTTTTTCTTCTTGCTCTTTGCACTCTGCGCTGGAGGTGCCTTCACGTCCGATGAAGAACAGGAGCCCTGGAGTAGGAAAGTAACGTAACACTGTAAATACTTTTTACGACACAGTTTAGCAAAGTTCCAAAACATATTTTTCTAGTTATTCTCATAGGAACTGTAATTTGAGCGTTATAACAAGATTGAATAAAACATTTGAGTTTAAAACCATAACAAAAAACTTCAAAACTTGTCACATTCCCAATTTTTTGATAAAATACCCTACAGGGATACTATACCAATTATTAATATTTTTAGCACCTCTTCCGCCATGATAGAATGGCTGGTAAGATTGCGGTACCTGCGAGTTGGCGTCGATGCCGGAGTCGCCCTCCTCCTTGGCGGCGGGCTCGTCGTCGGGCTCGCCGCCCTCCGAACACTCGCCGAGGGACTTCTCGCAGTACAGGGAGTTCTTGTCGTTCTCCGCTTGGAGCTTTCGCCTCTCCTCCTGTACACGACGAGGCCGTGAACAACGGTTTTCGAATCACGGTCTTCCCGCTCCATTTAGCGAATAACACAATGCATGCTGGGGACACCGGCAATGCACTAATTTTCGAAATGCACGTGTACACACATATGCGACACTCTGCTTGGGCAGAGTCTATCGACCTGGCGGAAACGTAGCCTTTCCGTAAGCTTTGTGCCCAATGACACTTTATATATACTTATATAAAGTGCTTATATTAAGCACTTTATGTGTACTTATATATACTATAGTTTATGGACTGAAAGCTTGTTGAGACCGAAACCTGAAGATAATTGAATAAATATTTCTATTGCATTGTATACTATCCGATATCCACGGTAGTGAATTGGTAATCAAAATAAATCCGAATACAATTGCCCACCAGTTCTGCGTCAGATGAAGCTTAAATAGTCTCGGGACTGAAAGCACAAACATCAGTCAGAAGACAGTCGCCGAGGAAGCACTCGGGCGTACCTTCTTCTCCATCTTCTTCTTCTTCTTGCGCTCGCGGCGCCTGGCGGCGGCGAGGCGGCGGCTCTCCTCGCGGCAGCGCTCGGCGTCCAGCTCCTCGAGCAGGATGGTGGCGTTCTGGTTGGCGCGCGCCGCCTGCGTCTCCTTCGCGGCGCGGATCACGCGCACGCACTCCTGGCACTTCTCCAGCATCTCCTTGTCCGAGATGGTGCAGATGAACCTGCGCCGGGGGGTGGCATGCCACATTATATATATACAGTATACCATATATAAGTAAGCCTAAGACGGAACTTAAAAAAAAGAGGAAAAAGGACTCGAATCGGGGTCTTCTGGTTTCGGGAACCCGCCTGATTACTCATCTGAGCTATTGTAGCCTTCTAGATGGTGCTGAAAATTACCTTCGTATTCTAATGATTTTGTAGCGGAATTTCATTTCCTGAAAACACGGCGTAAAACGACGCTTTATAAAAATAAAACCTAGCCAGATCTATTTATCGCCCCTGAAAGCTTTTACATACTGAATTTCATGAAAATCGTTGGAGCCCTGTCCGAGATTCATATACGTACAAGAATCGCTCGTTATTGCTTAGATCCCCTTCTTGCAACTCCAAAGCCTTAACAGATGCTTAGCTTTTTTTATGAGAAAAGGAAGCAAACAAGCGATGATCACCTGTTGGTAAGCGATCACCGCCGTCTATGGACAACTCGGTTCATTCATTCAGCTAAAATTTTTTCACTATCAAAATTAAATATTCTTATTGATTTATAGAGTTTATTATAAATTTGACATTTATGATTTATTTTTGACTTATGCTGCAAGCAAATTTGACAACATCCATGACCATGGCAGAGATTCGAAACTTTGGGTATTTAAATCAAAAATTATCGCATTAAATCTTGTTTCATTAGTTGTGTTCGCGTTAGGTTTAAAGTAATTATTAGATTTTTCTAGTTACTCATCCGAAAGACTTTCCTTTTGTTTATATAAAGTTTATATTTCCTATATCTTTAATAACAACGTTAGTTGATCCATTGGTTGTTTATTTTTGTAATACATTGAATGAGACATGGCGGCGAAAACATTCTGAATGTTTTTTAAAAAAATAAATTACCTCGTCATTTCTTGATCGGAGGGGAATTGCGTGACGACACCAACCATCCACTTGACCACTTTATTGTGGCCTTTCCGGAATGCGGCCATCAGGCAAGAGACCTGCACAACGTGAAATATTAAGATTTTATCAAGATGAATGTAGATTCGGAAATTATAATATCACAACAAAGAAGTTCATGTCAAAAAGAAATGCTTAAATTAAGTCCTTTGTTCAAAAATATACAGTGGTGAAGAACACACTCCAAAGTATACATTCAGATCTTTTAAATGAAAACAAGAGAATAGTATCTCAAAGGATAATAACCTTTCTATTGTCCTGAGAATCGATGTCCGCGCCGGCTGCGTATAGCATCTCGACTACGGTGAGGTGACCGCCATTGGCGGCCAGCCACAGGGGTGAGTTTCCTTTCTTATTCTTCACTTCCACAGCCGCTCGCCTGCATTGAGTAAGGAAATTTTACGACACTCATACCCATATGCTCTATATTATTTATAATTATAAAACTTGGCCTGTAATTTTTCATAATCGTAATTTTAATTGTGAACCATTTTTAATTGAATTTATTTTGCATTAATTATTCAATACAATTTGTATTGTTCAGAATAACCAATAAACTGAATTAATAAAGGAATAAGTACTAATTATACTGTTTATTTAAATAGATATTAGGTATGATGAATAGAATATCTCATATAATGGGTACAAACGGTATTCATTGAATTATTTTTAATATAAGTAATCATTGTTATGAATATAAATGGTGCAATTGTGCAGGAAATAGACAGGGCTCAAATGCGCAGGAAAATTTAATTCATTTATTCTAGTCATGTTTGACTGCATTATAAACTATGTATCTAAAATTTTACAACAGAAGCACAAACTTTGCTATTGATGCTAGTTAAGTAAAAACTATTCAAAATGTAGACTGTTACTGCAAAGTAACATTATATTTACATTATATACATATTAATTAATTTCCACATATATGTAAAATATATGTGAAATATCGATAACCCGGTTGGTCTAGTGGCTAGTGAACCCGCCTCTTGCGCCAGAGGGTGTGGGTACGATTCCTAATAGTGGAAAAAGTGGCTGGATACTTCACCATTCTGTTCCTTCTGTTTCACTTTGTTTAACAACACATTGTAAGAGCGTTTTGCAAACATAAATTTTACGTGGATTAACACCGTGTTCCGAAACATCTATATCTGGGTAATACACAAGTACTTGTCCTGTGCGGGAATCGAACCCACAACCCCGGGGCTGAACAACACCTTGACTACTTCACCACCAAGTTGAAATCATCTCCGGGTAGCACCCAAGTACTAGTCCCGTGCGTGAATCGAACCCACGGCCTTGTCAACACCCGTCGACAGCACGAAAACTGCGGTGCAAGTCGACGCCGTCTCCAGCCTGTCTCTTGACAATCATCACCGGGTAGCACCCAATTACTAGTCCCGTGCGTGAATCTAACGGCACGAGAGCTTCGCCGCGGAGTCGCAACCAAGTTCCTCTCCGCCGTCCCACCTGTGCAGCAGCAGCTCGACGAACTTGGTGTGGCCCTTGTCCGCCGCGATGGTGAGCGCCGTGTCGCGCGAGGACGGCACCGGCGGCGCGTTCACGTCGGCGCCCTTGTCGAGCAGCACCCGCCCCACCTCCACGTAGCCGCCGCTCGCCGCCTCCATCAGCGGCGTGAGGCCCGTTTTGGCGCGGTGCTCCACGTTCGCCTTGCGGTCGAGCAGCAGGCTCACCACCTCGTGCCGACCTGCCCCGCCAACGGCCACGTCAAAACGGGAGGGACGAAAGACCTCCTTCCTTTTGAAGTCGGTTAGAAATAGAAGAGATGGCCTATTAGGCACAGTACGGGCGTCAGAAAACCGGCTTTGCAAAAATGGACGAGACAATTAATGGTTTTGAATTTACGACTGAAATATGAATTCGCGTCTTGGCAATTTATGGTTTTGAATTTACGACTTTTGAAGTTATAATTTTTCTTTAGGCGCGCTTGAAAAAAAATGATGACAATGACTTTTTACGACGGGCGTCTTCATGACTTCGAGATTCATAGTGTTACAATGGCAAAAAATTTTTGACATTAACTTATAAATCCATATTTAATGTCTTTCTTCACAAACAAAGAGTATTAGCACACGGTATGAAAATTTATTTTAGTTACTCTTCTTTTGTTACGCTAAGAGCTAAGGATATGCCTGTGTACATCAGAGTACAGCTTTTCGAGCTCTAATGGAAAGTTTCTATTTGATATGTAATGTTTTGTCGATACATAGCACTGTTTGCCCAAGCAAAATAATATTGAACAACCGTCTAAAACTAAAAGATGGTGATGTGACGCACCTTGGAAGCAGGCGAGGGTGAGGGCCGTGTTGCGGTTGGTCTCGATTTGCGCGTTGATGTCGGAGCCGCAGTCGAGCAGGAGCCGCACGGCCGCCGTGTGGCCGTTCATCGCGGCCAGCATCAGCGGCGAGATGCCCAGCTTCGAGCCCGTGCGAGAGTTTATCTCGGCCTGTGGATCGTTCGGTAAACGCTTATACTATACATCCAGGAACGGGTTCGAAGGTAGGACAACTAACTAATATACTTTGTTTCGATCAGGTGGCAGCTTTTAACCTGATGGTGTAAGACCACCTTCCGTTCCTCATTCATATGAAATTAATTACTAATTTAATAATAGTCTGGGCGCGAAACCAGAAGACGCTGGTTCGATTCCCGAAACACCGAGAGTTTTTGTCCATTTACCTATAAACAAGAACAATTTAAGAAATTTAAATTGTTTATAGTGCTAATCTTTGCACTTAAGATTGAACATTAAAATATGTAGAAAAAGTGCGAAAAGATTTTTTTTTCTACATATTTTAATGTTCAATCTTAAGTGCAAAGATTAGCACTATAAACAATTTAAATTTCTAAAAAAGCAATGGCGAATCTCTCGTTCGAATTATCGTTGTAAAACGATATTCGAAATTGTTTGTATGCTGGAAAGGATATAACATTAGATGGCGCCAAGCATTGCTTCAAATGCTAAGAAAACAATGTGGAAGAATGCGTTAAGATTTTCGTCGGTGTGGGAATCGTTTAGCTCAGTGGCTAGAGCGTCAGGCCGCGAATGCCGAAGACGTGGGTTCGATTCCTACAACGGCGACAATCTTTTCGCACTTTTTCTACATATTTTAAAAGAACAATTTAATTTAATTCTCCTTAATCCTGTCATTTCAATGACTACACTGATACACGAATGAATGTCTGTGGGGGAGTCCTATGTGCAGCTGTGAACTCAAACAGGCCGAAATGTTCATGATAGTGATGATAGAATGACCCTTCGAGCCTAGCAGTGTAAAACATTGTCCGGAGCGAGTCGGCCACCTGGTGGTGCAGCAGCAGCCGAATGATGTTCACGTAGCCGCCGGAGGCCGCGAGCGAGAGGGGCGTGTAGTCGGAGACGTTGCGGTGCTCCTTGTTGGCGCCGCGCGAGAGCATCAGCTCGACCACCTCGTAGCGGCCGCCGCTGCAGGCGAGCGACAGCGGCGTGTCCTTGGTGCGCTCCGACTGCGCCTCGATGTCCGCGCCGTGGTTCAGCAGGATCTCTACGATCTTCTCGTGGCCCGCGGTCGCCGCTAGTATCAGCGGCGTGAAGCCCTGCGATGGGATTGACACGTTAATTATTATTCTTCTCTCTGCCGCAGGTAGTAGGGAAGTATCCACAACGATCGAATACTTATGAGGGCGATAAAGAGTAAACCACGAAGTAAGAAAAACTCTCCTCGGCATCAGCAGCAGAGCTTCCCAAAACTTACTTTCTACGATACGGGCGTTCTTTCGCGACATGGGACTTATAAACCGCAACAATGATGGTATATCTACATACCATCTTAGTACTCAGATTATAGCGAGTTTACGGCGGTACAGTGGTATGATTTAATTAAGTATTACCGGACACAACACTGACATCATTGCGGAGAGCGACTGTCACGTAGGCCGATCACAATAGAAGCGTTCGGCGCCAGCCCCGCATTAAATAATAACCTTCTTGTCGCAGTGCTCGATGTTGGCGCCGCGCGAGAGCAGCAGCTCGACGAGCTCCTCGTGGCCGCCGGCGCAGGCGAGCGTGAGCGCCGTGTCGTGGTTGGAGTCCGTCTCGCCGTCCACGTCCATGGCCGAGTAGGCGGCGGGCGCGGGCTGCGGCGGCGCCGCGCCGAACGCCTCCGCGCGCGCGCCCCGCACTCCGCCCACGCGGCCCTGCCACGACGCGACACGCGAACACGTTTTCACATATTATGTATAAACACATTCATTAAGAAAATCATGATTATGTCTTTATATCAGGAAACGATATATAACGACTACCTTTTTCGACTCTTATTAAAACAAGGGTCGATTTTAGAAAGCTACATAATGTATACATCGTTCTCTTTCACTCTCGTCCAATTACCATGGTTGTTCATAAATGCAGAAATCTTTATTTTGCGTTTCCCAAAATTTGATATTTTTAAAATAAGTTACTTTATGTCTCTGCCTGTATAAAATATAAACACAAGACACTAGAGAAACATTATTCATCATACAATGTTTTTCCCATAGTGGGCATCGAGCCCACACCCTCTGGCGCAAAATACAGGTCCGGGTTGTAAAAAATTATGTTTCTGTTGATTTTTTTTTTCTTTAGACATTGACACCGTAGGTAACATAGTCCAGCCCCGGGCGCGAAGCCAATACCCTGGTGCCTTCGCCACGAACTTTTCGGAATACCGTGCTAGCGGGTGCGCGTACCTTCTTCTTGAGCGCGACGGCGTTGTTGGGGTGGTGGAGCGTTGCGTCGCGCTTAGGGTGCGGCTGGGGCGCGGGCGGGGCCGCCGCGCCCCCCGCCGCCGCCGCCGCCGCCCCCGCCCCCGCCGCGCCCGCCATGGCCGCGCCCGTGCCCGCGCTCGCGTTCACGAACGATCTAAACATAATGTTTTCTTTTTAATGAAATATACAATAAATATTAATACAAATTAAAATTGAACTCTACAGCGCGCAGTGGGCCCAGCAGCGGGATATGTATAGGCTAATGCCCATACATGTTCCACTGCCGTGTAAAGGCTTCCTCTGTACAGAGGGCAGTGGTCGCATAGGTAGTCACATGCGGACTTATGTTCGAATAATTTTTTTTTCCTTTTGTTATTATTTCGAAACTATACAGGTTTCCTCATGATGTTTTACGTCATCACTGAGCGCGATTAATCAGCACTCAATATCAACAATTACATTGGTGCCGGCACAGCGATTTGAACTAGGCAATATTTTCTAGCACACTTTCCTTTCTGCTTCATTAGAAATTATTGTCTTTTACGATTCAATCATTATGTTTTTTTTTTACTATCTAAGTAATTAGTATTTATTCTTTCTGAATAGGCACGCATTTCCCATCTTCAAAAATCAATTTGCATTGCTCATCGAATGCCGTTCCGTTCAAAGCCCGATAAAAGGCAACAAACAACAGCGCACCAAAGATTCCCGTTCAGTGTTTTGTGAAGTAGGACATTGCAATGTCTGTCCGCTCACCTGTGGTCCTCATATGGCAAGGTGGGCGGTGGCAGGGCGAAGTGGGGCTGGGGCTCGGGCTGCGGATCGGCCTCGTCCGCCCCGCCCCCCGCCCCGCTGGGAGCGCCGCTGCCCGCCACGCCCACCGCCCCGCCCATCGGCGACGGCGGCCTCACTCGGTACTGGCAGCCGTTGCCGACCTGTTGCTGGACGGAATTAAAACGAAACTAACTTAGAGAGCATCATTACAACACAACTCAATACAGACGCGTCTTTTAACTGTATTCTGAAATTTACTGTTATAAATACTCATTTACCTAAGTTTATGCTGATAATATTCCCAGAGTATTACCGCGTATAAATGTTCTCTGTACATAAGCAATCCAAAGAGTTATATATACATAGATATATATAGGTAATTATTTTTTTTTATAATCTACAGTCCTAGCCATAACACAAACTAGAATATTTGTAATCATTATGATTCATTGACTTTTATATCGCAGGTCTAAGAGGCGACAATCAGTATTCGCAAGACGCTGGGGCCTCTATCGTGGGAGCCTCCACTCACCGGCACGTCGCCGTGGTGGTGGTGGTGATGGTGGTGGTGGTGGTCCTGGCGCGCGCCCCAGTCGCTGGTGAGCGCCTCCTCGGTGGCGGCGAGCAGGCGCCGCGTCTGCCGCTCCGCCTCGGCCGCCTCCGCCTCCGTGGCCGCCTCCATGCCGCACTTGTTCGCCAGGATCTCGTGCGACTTCTGCTGCATCACCTGCGACATCGCCGCCGTGCTTATTACACTTTCGACGAGTTACGGAAATAATTTCGAATTTTACATGCGTACTATACAGCGTGTCGAAATACGTACTATACAGAGGATAACTTTTTAAAATTGTATTAAACATTTACAGTCTTTAAACATCAATATTTACAGAGTTATTAAATTTTCCAAAACAAACAATTTTAGAACACCCTTGTGTATAAAACTATAACGTAAAGTTCATTTGTAAAGGTCACAAAGCATATGAATGGGTTGAACGAATTGAAAAGAGACACAACATACTGTTAGAAGGAGAGGCTTGTAATGTGACGCTGTGGCGCGAGTTGTATAGGATGTTACAAATTTTGTATCTTTTTTACTTAATTAGTTTGTTTGAAAAATATTTCTTTTTTAATTATGGATTTTGTTTAACGTTAACATTTTTTTATGATTATTGGCAAGTAGCGTTAGACGTGTGTTCATTTATTGTCGCGATGGTAACGACACGCTGTATAGATACAAGAAAAGCTAAACTCAGTACTTATACCCGTTATTCACAGTAAGCGTAGCAAAACCTTTATCCTACCATGACTAATTTTGAATTAAGAGCACAACCGCAACAGGTGTTGATGGTACAAAACGAACGTCAGCCATGGGCATCCGTTATTTTTAAACATATGTTTCCCTAAACAATCACAGTGGGAGCAGTTTGAACATGAGTCCCTGCATACCTGCAGCACCAGGGAGCGCAGCTCGTGCGGGGGCAGCGCCACCAGCGAGGGCACCTCCCGCTGCAGGTAGGTCAGCACGGCGGCCAGCTCGCGCCCCTGCGGGCAGCTGGCCACCTCCTCGCTCAGATGCTGCGGACAGGGACGGACATAGCGCGGCCGGTGAGACGGGCTGCTTTTGCCGACGATTCGTATGAGCGTTTTTTATGTGAGAAAGCGGCAAGCGCCATCTTTCAATGAAGTGGGCGGATACCTCACTCATCAGACGAAAGTATGACACTTTCACGCCGGTCTTCTGTGAGATCTTGGTGTTTACCCGGACGGACCTGCCCATCTGTGCAACAGTGAAGTTGCGCAACCCTACCACATTTTTTTCTATAAAACAAGCTACCGTCTTTGTTAACGCCGGTAGTTGGATGTCGAAAAAATACGTCACAGCCCAAAGTCCATCACACCACCTCGACGACTACGTCTTGTACGCCATCTTAGCCTTCGTTCTCTGTTAGCTACCACCGCTGTAACCTTGTTCCCTTTAAGTTGTAAATTATACGCTACATTCAATTTCGCTATTTATTTTTCATAAAAATCCTTAAACTTCAACCGAGGGAATCCATCACGTAAGGGCCCTCACAGTCTTTATGTTGAAATCATCGCAAAACTAATATAAAAATAATACGCGTACATTTAATCCCGTAGTCCGTAGAGTATTATTAATATTACAACACATAATTATCCAAAAATCATTATACCAAATGCTTGACGTTTGATAATAACTTATCAATATATACCTGAGGCAAATACAATTCAGGTCGTAGCTGTAAGTCTTGGGGGAACTGCTGCTGTTGTTGTTGCTGCTGCTGCTGTTTTTGCTGCTGCTGCTGTTGTTGCTGCTGTTGTTGTTGTTGCTGCTGCTGCTGCTGCTGCTGTTGTTTCTTTTGTTGCTGCTGTAACTGTTGTTGCTGTTGGTGTTGCTGTTGTTGAAGCTGTTGCTGTTGTTGCTGCTGCTGTTGTTGTTGCGCCGCGAGCTGTTGCAGCTGCTGCTGCTGTAACTCTTGCAGCTGGTGCTAGAAAATATCAATGACTTAATATACAAAACTTATGAGCTCCATTGATTTAAATTTTCAACAATTATGTCTACTGCAGAATGGAGTATGTAATCAAAATATTACCATCGAAGCGCGCGATTAAGAATTTTATAAATACTGCTATTCGACAATAAATGCAAAGCTACATAATAATTAAGTATATTAAATGATTCCAACGTCACAATACATTACGAATACCATATATTCAATCTTTGCTAAGTAATGCTACTTTTGTGTCTATTAACTGTTTTCTTAAAAGGAATACAGCAATACTTTTGCGCCGTCACCCACTTCGCTTATCTGCTCTCCTAGTCTTTGCAGGGCTTCCAGTAGCAGGAACTTGTAACCAAACTTGGCACATTTACGGGTCGCTTTTGCACGTGGTCGATCGCTTATTGGAAAGTTCTAGATATAAAAGTGAAAACGGGTCATTGGTATGATATACCAAAAACCCGGAGGGTCAGCACTTAAGTTTTACTTCAATTTTAAGGTATATTTCACATTCAGTAGATCTATTTTAATTGGCATCAACATCGAATTAATATACAACAATATTTATAGTTTAATTGTCTTTGACATGGAGTCAATAAACGACGCGTAAAATATGTAAAATGTTTTAAAAAACCCCACTTACACACTCAGGAAGATGTTGAACTATATGACAGTTTAGCCCAAAGTTGATTGTGGTTGAATTGTTATGTTCATCAAAAGACATTAATATGTCCTTCATATTCCCTTTGTAGACGAACTAGTCGCCTGTGTGTGCTCACCTGGTTGAGATTGGTGGCCAACTGCTGCACCGGGAACAGCTGCTGCGGCGGCGGGTACGGTGGAGTGGTGGGGGGATGAATCGTCGTGACACCTGCGCATGTACGCATGCGTACACAATCATTGAGTTATCCTTTCTCTCCACAGTTCTTTTTACCACGTACATGTTTGCACACAATGATCAAACATGCAAAATTAAAAAAAGAAACAAACGACAAAAGGACACAGACTATACACATACAGGGAGGCTTTTCTAAGTGTATCCTTTTTTTAACTTAAATTCTAGACATAAATAATGTTATACACCGTGTCTTTACAATCGCGACAATATATGAACACACATATAGAGGATAACTTTTTATCTATTTACCTATTTACTTTTTAACTATTCTATGAATTGTATTAAACATTTACATTCTTTAAACATTAACAACACACCCTTACGTATAAAACTGTAACGTAAAGTTCATTTTCATTTGCACAGGGCACAAACCATATGAATGGGTTGAATGAATTTAAGAGACAAAACATACTGTTAGTAGGAGAGGCTTATATGCTGTGACAACGAATGAAAAAGTCTCTGAATGTATGAATCAGTCAATTGTAGTTGTATAGGATGCTAAAATTATTGTTTCTTTTTTAATTAATTAGTTTGCTTGAAAAATATTTTTTTTTTAATTATGGATTTTTTTAACGTTAATATTTTTTTATGATTATTGGCAAGTAGCGTTAGACGTGTGTTCATTTATTGTCGAGGTGGTAACGACACGCTGTATAAAAAATGATAAATATTTTAAATCACTCGTAAGTAATTAATTACATTCATTTGAAGAACTTATCTCAAAAAGTGCGTGATTTATACGCAACTCATTTATTTTACGCGCGATCATTCATAACTAACACGCACAAAAGTTCGTTTGTGTGCCTGAACAGTAAAATTTAGGTATTTATGAATGACTACCGCGTTGTCAACAAGTTTTGTTTTTTAGGGAATAGAATTGTAATTTTTTTGAAAAAAAAAAGTTTGTTTTTATTTCAATAAACGATTATACTACCGAGTCTGAACCTCCTGTGTAAATTTGGGCACCTTTAAAAAAGTCTCCCTGTATACATGCTGTTTGTTATAGACTAAATGGGTGTAGATAGAGAAAAAAAATATAGGATAAAGCGTTCCGAGAACATTCAGTACATTACTAGGTATATCAACAGTTGGCATTAAAATTTAAAATAATAAGGAAATGAGTGTAAAGCTGGTGTAGGAGGGAATGTTGATTGATACGATTTGCTTCGACAGCGGTTATAACAACTGGTGCTTAATCACAATCGTCACCAACCACATACCATTAGGAACAGTTATCGAATAAGACATTATGACGATGACTCTAGTCGTTGGGTGCTGAATGGTGGTGACTGCAATGGGACAAGACTTGCCTTGGGCGCAGAACTGAAGGTCCAGGGCGTGCAGCGCCGAAGTGGCCAACGTCGGTGGACCTTCGCACAACAATGACCGCTTAGACGCTTTTAACATTACAACTTAACAGTTATATGTCACATTACCGATCATTTATGTAGATATTATGACACGCTGATTTACAAAGGGATAATTTAATCTTCTTTATAATTATATTGTGTATTGAAAACATAGGAAGGGTATTCAATTTGAAACGGTTAACTTTATGGCAATATTGAAGGTCTTACCGGAGGAATCGGCCAATTCGATTATGCTGCTCCTCTCAGTCTCTGGCAGTGTGTCGTTTCGTTGTGGGCCCGTGAGCATTTCGGGTCGCTGGGGATGATACGGTTTCGAATTAATTGCAGTTATATCAAACACTGTTGATTGGGCGAAGAATAATACTAAAGAATTAAACAAAAGAGAGATAATTGAATTTTAATTTTCGAAATGTTTCCATGAAATTACTAACCATAAAAATGCTTTAGGAAACAAAATTCACCATCAGTAACATATACCAATACCAAATATAATTGATCATCGCACATCCGTAAGCACCACCACAACATACAAAGCTCGATATAAATACACATGCATTTCAAAAACAAAACAGAAAGTTCCTTATACGATTTCTCATTTTTAATTCCTTGTACATAATAAAAACAATAATTTACAGACAATTACTTTAAAATAACAGAACAAAACATTATTAATTTATTTATATAACCTTACAATAAGTCTAGCAGGATCATAATAAAATGCACCGAAGCATTTTTATAATAATTATTAATGCATTTGTTTACCCAACTTTTCACAACAGTTTTAAAAGAATATTACAATCGATAAAATCGTTTGTTTTACTTATTTATTTTTTGTTATGGAACAAATAGGCTTCAGCCTATAGACACAGATAATATTCAGTTAAATTATTAAAATAAATTTGTTTATTTAAAAGAAAAAACATCAGACTTAATGGATACTGGCCAGCCTAAATAGCCCAAGAAAAATAATGTATAAAGTAACATAAATAACACAGGCGAGTATACTAAAACAGTAAAAATAAAAATAATTAATAATATGTCACCACTAAAACATATAAAGTGAACGAAGTTATTATTGGTCAATTATTTTGTCATGGCATTACTTGCATTAGCTACAATAAAAATACAGGAGGTTTAACATTAAGTGTTTACGTCTAATATGAAGTTCTACAATTGAAAGAAATATCACTCACATTGAGTTTTTTTTCAATGTTGTTTTTATTTTTATATTTCTTGTTAACATCCTTCCACGTAAAGCCCGGCGGGAGGGTTAACTTAGCCATGCTGTGGTGGCATATCTACGTCGTGGGAAGCAAGCAGACAATATGAATATATTTATATGAGTAGTATACATCTTAAATACATTAGTTATAAATGTCGACCTATTTGTTGTGTAGTGGGTATATATGAAAGCGTCTATTTGCTGTTCACCCTAATAGAGTAAAAGGACAATATAAATGTATAGACGAATTGTGAAGGTGAATCGTTGTCATATTTCATTCATTGTTTTTGTTCGCAAAGAAATGAGGTACACAGTGCATATCACAAAATTTTGTCTAGAAAAATATGAACGATTTAAGAATTTTTTTCAACAAAAAATTCAAAAATAATTCAAATATTTGAACACTTTGCGCTAAAGTGATACGTTGGTCTAAAATATTACTGCAGATTGTAATAACTTCAAAATGGCATTGGCAAGCAATCTTTTGTAAGGGATGGCTAACTAAAACAGCTCTTTGTATGATCAAGGTATTTAATATGTAAATATGCAAGAAAGGCTTAGAATACACATCTACACTTATAGCTCTATATATATATATAAAGAATAAACCATGGATGAAATATTGCTACATAATGTCGTATGACATATCCAAAACCGAAACTATAAAAATGTTGAATAATTACTTTCCTCCACCAGTAATCAAATTTATTAAAGATTCTTGTAGCAAACAAATGCATAATACTTAAAAGTTATTTTAGTAAATTTCTGAAGAACACAAGACATCAGTCTTTCAGTTCAAATAAACAGCACAATGTGCAAATGTAATGCAAATTAATTTTAAATTTTAGAGTTGATATGGCTGTAATGTAAAACTGGAATGGTAAATAGCAAATATTTCGTATAAAGACTTTATTTGAACTAGGGACAAAATTTTAACTCTTCTTTGGAATCTTTGTGCAGAACGAGTGTATTTGTGTGTTGTACACTATTGGATTGATCTACTGACCTGGTCGTCGAGAATATCGGGCGGCGGCGGCAGGTGGTGGTCGGAGTGGGGGGGCGCGGCGCGTTGTTTGCGCGGGCACTTGTGCTTGCCGGTGGCGGGAGCGGGAGCGGAAGCGGGCGCGGGCGCGGGTGCGGGTGCGGGTGCGGGTGCGGGTGCGGGTTGGGCGGCGGGGACGGGCGCTGGGGCGGGGAGCGGCGCTGCGGCGGGGGCGGCAGCGGGGGCGGGGACGGCGCCCGCTTCCGGCGCGCCCGCGGCGGGCAGGCCGCTCATGTACATGCCCGCCACCATGCCCGCGATGAAGGTCGCGTCCGGCCTGCTGTTCGCGACCGCGCCGCCGACTGGGACGTTGACGTTGCCATTGCCGCCTTGCTTCATGCGACCTGTATTTTTTGAGAATCGAGTTTACATGCGAAATGTCAACACGAATAGTTTTATTTTAGATTTGTAATTTACAGCGAAACATTTTCAATTAGGTTAAGATGTAGTGGTCACTAAACACTTGCTGTATGGATCTCAAAGAAACTATTTATTTGATTGAACCAAACATGATTAGGCGAATAATTCGGCGAGTAAAAAAATATTTAGTTCAGAGAAACTCACTCTCTAGGTAGCCTTTGGCGAAGTTGGCGGGCAGTTCGGGCTTGGGCGCGTGCGCGGGCATCGGTGCGGGCGCGGGGGCGGTCGCAGACGCAGGCGCGGGCGTGGGGGCGGGGGCGGGCGCGGGGGCGGGCGGGGCCGCGGACGGCACCTGGTGCTGGTGCGCGTGCGGGAGCGGGTGGGGGTGCGGGTGCGGATGGGGGTGGGGGTGAGCGGGCAGGAGCGCGCGCTGCGACGGGGCGCCGGGCGCGGGGGCGTGCGACAGCCCCAGAGCCGCCGCTTGCGCCGCGCTGAGTCCACCCGTGTTCTCCTCTGCCGTTGCGTTACCTGATGTGTATTATACATCTATATATTAACACGCGTGTGTGTGTTTTTTTAGATGTTATACATATATTACAGTAAATGATCCAATATCCCTGACAAAACATAAACATTTGACTGGGGGGCTACCGGTTGCATCTACAAAAAAATCTCATATGATAAACACACAATGGAAATGAAAACGCTCCAGGCTGTTTGATGTCGACTAAAAAGAAGGCCCGTAGACTTTCTTTCGCCGGTTCGTTTCATGTCAGTGGCTTTTCCGACACGCTAGTGGTATTTTGACAATCATTAAGTGACTGCTGCGCTTCTATACTGAATTGCAAAGTACCGGTCCGTCCAACGCTTACCTCTGGGCAACATGACGGAGTGCGGATAGTCGAGCAGCAGCTGCACGACGGCGGTGTGGCCCCCCTTGGCGGCCTCGATGAGGGTGGTCGAGTTGTCCTTGAGTTTGCGGAACGGGTCCGCGTCGCAGGCGAGCAGGAACTTGACCACGTCCGCGTGCCCGCCCGCGCACGCGAGCGACAGCGGCGTGTGGTCGCCGTTCGCCGTCATGCGGTTCACGTCGGCGCCCTGCGATGCATCCACGGTAAGTTATCGACTGTACACTATCAGCTGAGGTATTGATCGTTACTTCCTTTGTCCTTTACAATAAACAGACAGAGGGACTTCGATTAACGCTTAGTAGTAATAGTAAGTAAAATTTTTAGTAGTAATTTTTTTACATTATGATATTGAAGAATTTTTAAGAACACCTCCCATCGTTTATTGAATATACTTATCGACTAAAATAATACATATAAAAATTATTTTTCTTTAATCCTTGTGGTCTTTGGCAGAATATTAGGTTGAAATTATAAAATTATTGCTATGTCAATAAAGCTGAAACAATTTCAAGCAAATTGGACATCTAGAAGTAGGTGAAAAATGTTATTACATTGAAAGGTGAAGAAGCTCGTCCTCCAACAAAACGTGAACGTTGAATAATACCTTCGTCGCGACACAACATAAACCGGGTTCCGGTCCGGGGTCACCCTGCCGATGCCCCGATCCAAAAAAGAGGGTCACCTTGCCGACGAGGAACTGCACGGTGCACACGTGGCCCGCGCGGCACGCCTTCATGAGCGGCGTGCGCCCGCCCTCGCTCTCGTGCTCGAGCTCGGCGCCGGCGCGCAGCAGCACGTCCGCCACGTCCGTGTGCCCGTTCTCGCACGCGTACGTCAGCGCCGTGTCGCCCGTCTGCGTCTGCGCGTGCACGTCCGCGCCCGCGTTCAGCAGGTACCTGCGCAGTCGTCGACGTCACATGATTATTAAATATAAATGCGTTTATGAGTGTGTATGTGTATTCAAGTATGTATTTGATTTAGTCATATATTATGTATGTTACTATTGCATCACCTACATAGTAAACGTTCCTTTAGGCCATTGGTAGGCTGGACGAGATCGCTACGAAGCGATAAGGCCAAAATTGTCCATTCCATTAATTTGTTTGACTGTGGTTAATTTTGTTTAACCTTTTATATGTATATGGTGAACGATAAAGTATTCATTCATTCATTCACATCAGCCCATTCGACTCCAGTACTGGACATAGGTAGGCCTCCCTCGCGGACCGCCAAGAGGCACGATTCTGGGCCACCTGCATCCGGCGATAGTGACGGGTAGGTTAGGATACGCGTTCATCACTTTCAGCAACATTTGAGCCCCGGTACTTCATGCAATAATTACTTGCCTCATAAGTAATTTCAACTGTGATAGAGCCACGCAACAGTTTCAACAGGTTCAACGCCAGGGAGGCGCATTCGTGGAAGTACCACAGCCTCACAGAAAACTGGCGTGAAGTGGAAATATTAAACTTCGCGTTTTGTCTGGTGAGTGAGGTAACCGACGCCCACTTATTTAAACATTGTCAACGTATCTGTTAGCCATCGGGTGTGCAAGGACAACGATATTCACTTAACACAGGTGGATCACCTGTTTGCTTGACAATTTTTAAAATAAAAAAAGAATAATACGTCGAAATATTCAGTTGACAATATTTAATTCCCCCTACCCTCTAGCTACTATCGGGCGACTGGAGATTCCGTTTTTTTTTTCTTTCTACTTATTCGAACTGACTGGTGGCAACGATTTCGAAAGGGAATTGTTCATTAGAACTTACTACCCGACCCCTTTCACATAGAATACAAATGACAGGCAACGCATCAGTAGAAATGTGACGGGTACCGCACGAGCTCGAGGTGTCCCTCCTGCGAGGCCTCCATGAGGGGCGTGGATGCGCCCAGCTCTGCATCAGCGCCCGCCTTGATGAGGAAGTCGGCCACCTCGAGGAAGCCGCCGCAGCAAGCCAGCGTAAGGGCCGTCTCCTGCGTCTCGTCCGTCTGAGCGTTGATCGACGCCCCCTGACCGAGCAGCAGAGCCACCATCTCCTCGTGCCCTGTACATATTTCGAATGAGTACTTACGAGTACGGTACAAGACAAAATATATTTTCATGTTAAACGTCTGGTTGGAAGTTAAATCGGTCCTATGTAGAGTACTTGAGTGTTTTACGTAAAAGCGATTACAAATATCGTGATATAGAAATTTTAATATACATTTGTTAACTTACAAATATTTCATAAATACTGCCAAGCAGTCCCTGAAGCTTTTAAATTACGGCCAACCAATTATATTTCACCCAATAATTGTTATTTGTTCCATTTTGTTTTTTCATCAGTTCCTTCAATATATCTAAGGGAGATTGGAGTAAGAGAGTAAATCAATATATCGTCCAGTAGGTCCACGCAACAAGTCTTCACTGTTGCATGAATAGACAGGTTTGTCCAAAGAATACCTCACACAAGACCGGCGTACAGTGGAAGTGTTATCCTTCTGCGTTACGTCTATCAGTTATTTGTCTGTATATCTGTCTTTCTGTCTGAATGTTACGCCTTCAGCCTATTCTACGCAGACGTAGTCGCGGGCAGCATCTAGTTCATTATAACAGTCAGTAGTTCATTATAACGGATTAGGTGGTGCTCACCTTCCCTGGCGGCCTCCATGAGCGGCGTGTAGCCCTCGTCGTTGACCTCCTCGATGTTGGCGCCCCTCTCCAGCAGCAGCATCGCGAGCTCCACGTGGCCGCCGCACGCAGCCAGCGTCAGCGGCGACTCGAAGCTGTCCGTCGGCATGTTCACCTATGCGACATAAATGGTGTCTCACAAACATACATACATACATATATATATATATATATATATATATATATCATATATATATATATATATATATATATATATATATGTATATATATATATATATATCAGAAATTACACCAAATTCTTTTCTTACAATGAAAGTCTTGACCATTAAAAATTAACGAGTCAGGTGTAGGTACTTGAATGTGCTATGTAGAATTTTCAATTATTCATATGAAATCATCAAATGCAATAAGCAAATTATTTGAAAGTTCTAAGTATTAAGGGCGGAAAAATTATGGCAAAAAAACGTTTGCCGGATCTGCTAGTCCGTATGATAAAGAATATCAGGGTCGGTTTCCGGCATCGAACCTGCGCCCCGGAGTCGAGCAGCAGCCGGGCGACCTCCACGTGTCCGTCCATGCTGGCCTCCATGAGCGCGGTGTGCATCTCGTCCGTCTTGTGCTCCCTGTCAGCGCCGGCCGCCAGCAGGAAGCGCACCATGTCCAGGTGGCCCTTGTAGCAGGCGAGCGTCAGCGCCGACTCCTTGAACTCGTTCGAGTGCGTGTTGATGCCGGCGCCGTGCTCCAGCAGGATCTTGGCGACGCCCACGTGGCCGGCGGACGCCGCCTGTGGGACGGAGGCGGAGACGGTTATTTCATGCGCTCGCATCGCTCCACGACAGAGGTGGTGAACATTTTTTTCTTGGCACACGAAGCATTTTGTTTACATTGGACATAATCGTCAACAAAATATTTATTTTTTGTAATCGAAACTTTTCTATGAATTGAATATTTAATGAGGTTTTTACATGCCTAGAGTGTTATGCAGTTATTTAGACGGATAAACAAATGGTACACATTCGTCAAAAAAAATCGTATCGATCAGGCAAGTACCGTTAATGTTAATAGCCTTCTTATACTAAAATCTCTGAATTAAACTAATAACTATTAGACAACTCTATCTTAGCTACCAAATTTCAATGGTCTCTTTGTTAAATCACATATAAGCCCCCCAGAAGGCGGGGAATTAGAAGATTCTCAAGGAAAATGTCGGTGTGTAGCCACGAAATGGCAATGCATATGCATCCACCCTCCCCCGCGGTGCGGCCAACCGACAAGAAAAGGTTGAGCGCCCCTGGCCAGGGTCAGTACACGGCGCCCACCTCCATGAGGGGCGTGTGTCCGTTCTCGTTGTGGTCCTCCACGTTGGCGCCGTTGTCGAGCAGCGCGCGCACGCAGTCCTCGTGGCCGCCGGCGCACGCGTACATGAGCGGCGTGTTGCCCGAGCCCGACACGGCGTTCACGTCCGCGCCGTGGGCGATCAGCAGCCGCACAATGTCCACGTGGCCCGCGCTCGCCGCCTCCATGAGCGGCGTGCAGTCGCCCTGACGGTGAATGAGTCAATGTATAGATATTTCGGGACATGTACGTGATGTATATACAAGATTATCTAGTCCCAAACTAGGTAAAGCTTGTAGTGGGGGTACTAGGTAACTGATAAACATTACTAAGATGTACTTTTCTTTTATAAATAAATACATTCATCGCACAATATTTTTTTAGTAGTAGGGGATCGAACCCACGCCCCCTACTACGCCAATTTTGTCGCCAAATCGCAATCGCACTCACTCTTCTCCTCGAGGGTTTACATCGGTATGCTTTGGTATGTTTTTTTTTTTACTTCATACACTTCAGTGTTGTGAATGTCAATGGATGATGACTTATTTACGTAAAAAGTTGGAGGTCCACTGGATGTTAAGCAATTATACCACCGGCCCTGGTAATTGCTTAAATTAAAATAAAAATAAAAGGCGTTGGCAACCATTAAAATAATTTTGAACAAAAAAACCGACTTCAAACAGGAAACTAAATGTATTGTGATGAAAAGATTGCCCTCGATTTCTCTGGGAGGCTGTCATCAGATCTGGTTTTCCTTATCATGGTACCACCCTTGGGAAATCTCCTTTCAAACAATAAAAATAATCATCAAAATCGGTTCATAAATGACGAAGTTATCCCCGAACACACAATAAAATACATACGGTCGAACTGAGAAACCTCCTCTTTTTGAAGTCGGTAAAAAAATTGAGCCCCCGTTACCCCACTCACCAGACAACATACACACACTTCCACTTCACGCCGGTCTTCTGTGAGGCCGTGGTGTTAGCCCGCACGAGCATGCCCGTCCATTCGTGCAACACACGCCGCTGCGTGGCTCGCTTAGCAGACAGTGCGAACGCATCACATAAGAACAGAGGGAAGTCTCACCTTGATGCCGCGGTCCTCGACGCTGGCGTGCATCGCGAGCAGCACCTGGGCGAGCTCGTAGTATCCCGCCGAGCAGGCTAGTGACAGCAGAGACTCCCCCTCCTCCGTGGTCTCGTGGACGGAGCGGCCCTCGGTGAGCAGTTTGCGCACGGTGCCCACGTCGCCGTCGGAGCACGCCTCGGCCAGCGACGGCGCACCGTCGGCGCCGACGCCCGACACCACCACGCCCCCGTTCAGCGTCATGCCGCACTGGGTGCTGCGCGGGGGAACGGTGAAACTTTAGCGGCGCACCGTACTCCCGCGGCGTATATAACGCGGCGCGGGGCTCAGATAAGATCAAAGCTTCAAACGATCACGGGGCGGACGGTCGCGTCTCCATCGAAGCGGCGCGGGAGTCGCTGGGACTCGACCGGTGCTCGCTCCGAGAGACTAACGACGTCGAGTCAATCTCGGATTATCATCATGTAGGTTGTGTGCATCGTGTTCTATTACAAGTTATTGGAGTGAGTGTTATTTATGGTGCAATTTTAATGTGTGTATTGATAGTATTCCGTTTAAATTGCAGCGCCGTAGAGATAAACCATTTTGGGAAACTTCAGTGAAAATAAGTTCGTCTAGTTCATTTAAATAAGCTTAGAGCATTAGGAATCGATTAATATAATAAATATTGATCTCGATATGCTCACCTTCAACATTGTGCTTAATCATTTTGTCTGTCGAAATTTACGTTAAAAATATATAATGTATATATTCTCTTGATGAAATATTTACTTTGCCACGATATTTCTTATGGCAACTGTTTTGTGGCAGTAGTGTCCTTCTAATTTAATAAATACACTAGAACAAGTTCAATTCATGGTTTCGGCTCTAATAAAATTATTAATTAAAGAACAAGTTCAATTCTTGATTTCGGCTTTAATAAAATTATTAATTAAATAGAAACTTTAAGAGCTTTTTTAGGACGTGCTCATCGTAAAAAAAATATTTAAATTGGATATATCTACAGTGGATTCACGTGGCGGACTGTACAGTAATCCTACTCTGTTTTAACACATAAATCTCTACAAAATATAACCGCGCCATATCGAATATTAACTATGTCAATCATGAGGATACGATTTAAACGAAAGTCGACATCTTTTTTCAGCCGTCAGTGACAACTCTGGTACCGGAAGAATTTGAAAGTGTATGGATGAAAATAACAAGGACATGACTGACCAAATAACGTCATTTGCTAAGTGATGACGAGCGACTACGTCATGAGATATGTCAGACGTATCCCGACACAAAAAAGCTCCCAAACCAAGTTCATACAGTATATGGGTAAAATTTCCATTTCATTAATGGGTCAACATCCTCAACACGCATGGGTTGCTTTTGCCAACCCTTAAATAGGGTTGCCTCGAGACGACACGCAAAATACGTCTACTATACGCCGGTCTTCTGTGAGGCCTTCGAACTTCTACGGACTAGCCTGCACATTCACGTAATACGAAAATACAGAAATATGAATGATTATCCGAATGATTTGTAGTTTCGCAAAGATATAAAAGAACCGGTCATATTACGTTAATGCTATGATTATAATTTGGTATTCTTACCGGGGTGATTATTGTGGCTAACTCGACTGTTGTCACGAACCCATCATTATCGTCGTCATATTATAATAGTTAAAGAGTACATAATTGGTAAATTTTTAATTTGTTACTGTTGGGGGCATTCAATTAACAGTTCTTTTGTTGAAGACCAATGATTTGCCCAATAAAAGAGGACATGCGGGGCTCAGGACGACTTAGTTCCAAGTGCAACCAAGATAGTTAAGTGTTACCAAAGAGGTGGATTTAGTTCAATTAATTTATATAATCGTAGTATTTCGCGTCTATTCCGCGCCCATATTGTTACGTAACAAGTGATGTGAACACATTACATATACAAGCACGTTTTTCATTAGTTTTCAATAATATAATCAATTTTCAGACCCCATATAACTGTCTTATGCCCGTTTTCACCATCAATCCCGAACTGTAAGGGACACCAAAACAAATTAAATGGTTGTCTCGTTTCTACCACCGAGTGTCACACTTAAGACCATAGGTAAATGGTGTAAAGTTTGGGATCGATGTTGAAAACGGGCATTATTCCTATTTCAAAGGAGCTGTGTATAGCATCTATTGTGGTCTTTGCAGATACTACAGAGGCATTGGCTCCGACATTTCGTAGTGAACGCGCATACTTGAAAACTACGCTCGGTAACCTACTTTGAGCCGCACTAAGCCCGCATAGCTGAGGGCGGTCTTCGCCACTATTCGCCAGGGCTAGTACGTATTGCTGAGAAACCATAAGTAAGCGATGTTAGCTGCAGATGAGTAGATGCAACGTACTGTAGTAAACATTTTTAGGCAAAATAATTCGATCCAATCAAATGTAAGTAAGCACTTACATTTTACTTACGCAAGGGTGGCGTTAGCTGATATAAAATACTTAAAATTGTACACCAACTATTTAACAGTAAAGTAACATGTTTAAAGATTTAGATATATGGTACTTTCAGATATTAGCTGTCGCAACTCTTAAAGTTAGGAGCTTAAAGTGGTTCATTTAACGGAATGTATACTATTATCTCACGAACAGAAGTGACTAAAGAAGAGAGAATACTGTACATTCCCCCGTACCGAGTTAAATTGTTGTAACATGTAATTGTTCTATGATAAAGGAAGTTTAATACTAGAATAATGAAGAAATCAAAGTGTGTGTTCACCTCATTTATGCCGTATGAATTATTCGCTAGTGTGAAAGTTGACAACAAAACTGTATACATGATTTTCAAACTGTATACATTTTTTCCATGAAATCATCAATTTTTAATTGACGAACGACGAGCAAGAATGTATCTTTCGCGCCAGCGTTCGGATAAGCTAAGTCATCGTTCGGATAATTGAGGGTTCGGTTGATCGAGGTTCGGATAATCGAGGTACTACTGTTATAGTATCGCCTTAATATCGACCTAATATCGGGCAGCTGTCGTTAGTGAAGGTACACATGAACCTATACAGGGAGGTTTTTCTAAGTGTATCCGCTTATTTTAATTAAATTCTAGACAAATGTTATATATAAGAAATGATAAATATTTAAAATCACTCGTAATTAATTAATTACATTCATTTTAACTTATCTCAAAAAGTGCGTGATTTATGGGCAACTCATTTATTTTATGCGCAATCATTCATAACCAACGCACACACAAGTTCGTTTCAAAAGTATACGAAGCATTTATGAATGACTACCGCGTTGTCAAGAAGTTATGTTTTTTAGGGAATGGAATGGTAATTTTTTTGAAAAAAAAAGTTTGTTTTTATTTCAATAAACGATTATACTACCGAGTCTGAACCTCCTGTGTAAATTTGGGCACCTTTAAAAAAGCCTCCCTGTATAGGCAGCGAGAACACGTGGTCAGGGCTGGACTAGAGTGGACCGGGTAGCGTTATTAATTCGTCCTATATAACACGTGCAATCAAGTAATAAGACACGATAGATGCAAAGGCGGGGCGACGGTTGCGAAACTGTCTTTTAGGTAAATAAGAAACAGGTTTTTACGGCCTTCGAGGGACGTAGGGAGCTGCGAGCAATATTAAATACGAGTCAAGGCGCAAAGCTGTCATTATGCAGACATCTTTATAATAAATCGCCGCAACTCCGAAACGCGTTATTGTTATACTCTGTAACGTGACCTTTAGTATTATTGTTTATAAAATTAATTAATGTCGTACGTCTTCACCAAACCGTTTGGATTCGAACCATGGAAACGCTGACCAATTTTGGCGCTGAGCGCATCGTATTATAAACAAGGCGCTCGTCCACAAAGAAGATAATGATGTTAAGGAGAAATTCCTTTAGAGGTCGTCAGTGCAACGTCACCGCTGATAAGCGAACAAACGAATTGAACCTTGGCCTTTTGAGACGAGAAAACTATCACAGATTCATAGCTGCATTGACTCCTCCAGACAGGCCACCGTATTGAAAAAGGGTTTCCTCCGAGCTATTGCCTTCAGTTTCGAAACGACACTTCCTTTCGAAACTTCGAAACGCGACTTCCAGTTAGAGCGTTAGCGTCCAAGTGATACGGTTCAGAATGTATCGAGACGCGGGCGGTCTTAATTATTTTTTTGAAACGTGACGTCACATTTTCGTCGTTGGCCAGAACGAACAGAACGCGGCGGAAAGTTCCAGATCACTTCGTCGCGAGAATGCGGCCCGCGCGGCGCCGATTTCGAGTTCTATACTCCGCGGAGGCCCGAGTTCCATTACAAACGCTTTAGGACAGAATCTATACGTCACAATTCACGTACTTATTTATTGTTCAGCTGTTCGATATACAAGCGAAAGGTATCCCTCTTACAACTTAACAATATTGAACGCGAATTAATACCATGGTTTATTCTGTTATCAATGCACAAACGTCTCAAGTGAAATATGCCGAAATCGATTTTTTTTAAAACATTGACCTCACTTTAAGATAACATTAAACTTTATTTCTTTTTTTTCATTGTAAGGACGTTTTACAAACATAAATTTTACGCGGACAAACACCCAGATCCGAAACGACTATCTGTGGGTCGCACAAATAGTTGTCCCGTGTGGGAATCGAACCTACGACCCTGGACGCGGAAGCCAATACCTTGGCTACTGCGCCACGGAGTTATCAAAGAAGATAATTCAATCAAGCAAGCACGGTGAACTGAGAAACATTGACTCAAAATCAATAAATGGCTGTATTTAAATAGTAATATCAATATTTTACAATCGACAATGCTCAAAGTGCGTCAGCGAAAAGTAATAAAACAGTATTTTTTTTTACACTATAATTGTCAATAAACACTATAATCCAATGCCCGTATGAACAAACGCTTCATTAGCACTGTGTTTTGTTCATTAACGTTCGAATTAATGTCGCGTTTGTGGCCTTTAATACAATGCCATGACAATACTTTGGCAATGGTATGCGGATGACTTTAGGGTTCGACTGTGCAACTGATCCTTGGGAGGCCGATTGTGGAATGTTTATCAGGGATATCATTTGTTTATCAGGGATGTTTATGTTTATTTAGGGATATCACTCTTTTACTCATCATCCCCCACTTCGAGCGAGCCATATAAGTTAAGAAAACTCTTGATTGGATTCAAGCCAGACTATTGAAAAAAAAAAACAAGGATAGGATATTTAAGGTGTTTTTCTTTTGTAAACTTCATACTAATTTGCATAAAGTGTAGAATATAAATCTGTCAGAAGATTTAGACTCGTTTAACGTCGCAGCGTCTAAGCAGTGGCGAGGTATCATGTTGGCCGGTTGACGAATCTAACGTAAGGTGACGAAATAAATCCTTCACCGAGGCATGTCTGCGTGCAGACATCTGGTGTGTGGGGTCAGGCGCTATATGTATACACAGCTACTCACGGCTTGTCTTGGTGGTGGCGGTGGTGGTGGGCGGGGGGCTGGTCGCTGCGCATCCGGGTCAGGGCAGCGGCCGCCTCGTCCAGGGCGCACGACACCGAAGACGTGAGCCGCCTAAGGACCTCGGGATCGGCGAGGTGCTTGCCCTCGCCCGATAGCTTGCCGATACCTGGTGGCAACGAGGCAACTGTCAATATGTATACGTACACTAGTGGCCGCGTGCTATTATGGTTGTCCTTGAGGTAATACGGACGAGCAAAAAGCTAAGTAAATGGTATGGGAATCACCGTAAGGTGAAGATTTTTTTTTAGTTTTGAATGTATCGAAACGTGTAATTAGAATAGGCAATTTTGCATTATCACATTCGTATGCCAAATGTGCTGCAGTAATACTCGTAGTTATTGTTTCAAAAATCAATTTATTTACAACGTTTGTCGTGAATAATATACGAATATAATTCTACAATATTCAATACACCTTTAGTTGCAAACATGTATCATGAATTAGAACAATGCAGAGAACGAACATCTCGATTAACTGGAAATGGGTTATGAATAACGAAAATCCAACTTTTAACATGACGGCTTAACTGTACCAACGCTATAAATAGTGAGTTTATTGTGAACTATATGAAAGTTGTAAAAATACGGCGACCTTAGAAATATAAGTAGGGCCGTTCAAGTAAACACGCCGTCGACATACAGTCTATTGTTAAAGGTTTACTCTGACAAGAATAGGGCATCCGACGGAGACGTTTCTAGATCGACGGGACTCTCCGTATTCAAGAGAGTATGGAATAATAAGTATTTTTATGCGATAATAGGATATGTTTTAGGGATGCCGAAAAAATATCGATATACCGAAATTTTTCATTTTATATAGCGATATTTTCAGCCGATGTATTTGGATCCGATATATCGATACAAAATATTTAATATCGAAATGGTATTAAAAACAGATATTTTTTTCAATTCCAATGCGACAGAGAGTCCATAGGTGGCAAATATTTAATACTTGACATACTTTTACGATATTTTCTCCTCGATACGTCGAGGCCGATATTGAAATTTTTATGAATATCGATATATGTCTTCACTTTCAGCATCCCTAATACGTTTATAGCGCGACGTGCGATGAGATGTGCTTCATCCAACGCTTCGCAGCTAACTACATGCTCATAATGATCTGATTACATGCAATTCTGTATAAATTTAGGGCACTTTAGTTAAAGGAATATAAAGTAGCAGCGAATATGTCTCGCTGCTGGATAAATAGGAGCAGAGAGATCTACCCTAGATACAATCTACCAAGGGTTTCACTGACTGACAATTTTTTTAATTATTTCTTTAATTTGCTGGTTATCCGTCTACGTCGAGACCGTCGTAAAGAAATGATTTAAATAGAAATTAATAATGACTTGGGACCCAGCGTCTGCATTGGAACCAGGGTGTTGACAGTTGCGAAAGAACAGCAGAGTACCGCGCGACTGAGGTATCGATTTTGTTGTGTAATAAATCCGTTTAAAAACTTTTAAGTTAAACGGTTTTATTTTATGTTTTTTTTTTGTGCACTGAAAACTACAATATTGTATTGTCATCTAAATTAAATGTGTGTACCAAATTTCAGATCAATCTGACAACGGGAAGGTGCTTAAATTTCAATTTCTAATTTTGACCCAAATAAATAAACAAATTCCGTACGTGTCGAGCTAAATAAAACCGTTTAAAAATCAAACGTATTCGTCTAATTTTAAGATAACAATATGTCTTGGATATGCCGAAGCAACATTGCAAGGCGTCCCGAGTGGCTGATGTTCCCCAGAAAAAAAGGGCATACAAATTTATAATGACATCAGTCTGTTAAAGTTATTTGAGGGTTATTAGATATTTTAATTCGCTACCATCAACATATCCATTATCGTCGCGTTATTTTAAACGTGTGTCGAATAGGTGCCGCATTTTGTAAGACACAAATCTTCAACAACTATTTTACATGATTGATAACATTAATGTTAATTTTACATTTTTTTAACGTTTTTCCGATAGGAATCGCTTTATCCATTAATGTATAAATCACTACATAGTATAAAACAAAGTCGTCCCGCGGTCTGTCTGTCTAATGGATCTTTATGCGGTTTTTTTTTACTAGAGTGATTCAAGAGGAAGGGTTATATACATTGCACCCGCACGAAGCCGGGGCGGGTCGCTAGTATTAATATATTTTCATTTACAAAGGTCATATTTTATACTTGACAGGATTAATACTACAAGGTTGAAACGAAATCATAATTTTAATGAAAATTGCCGATTTTTTTTTTCAAGTTCTAAATTTAATAAAGTTAAATAAAAGTTATACCTAGTTAAAAATTAATGAGTATTTTTTTGTAATTGATAATTAAAAGTTGTGATTAATCATTATTCTCTTTATTTGCTTATTAAAACATCAGTGATTTAGAACAAGAGACTGAGCTAAAACAATTTTGAGTTTAAAGAAAATTAGCGCAATTTAATATTCATTAAATTTCAAATACAACGTTGGCTACTTCTCGGCTCATTTTAAATGCGTCTTTTAAAAGCCATGGATTATGTACGCTTTAAGAATGCTAAACAATAATTGTCCCAAACGTAAGCTTAATTTTTTAGTTGGGTAGAACTCCAATAGCATTGTCTCTAATTTCGCAAGTATTAGATCGGTAGTTTAAAGTATTTTCGGTTTTGAAGTTGAAATGCGAAACCAATAGCAGTTCCTAATCTGTTGGTTTCCTCAGCCAAATGCTTGTCAGACGTTCGATTTTGGACTCCAACCCATAGATAAGTCTGGGTGGTTCGTCTGGGGGAAATTTGTTAATAAAAAACTTCCATCCTTAACGTCACAGGAATTTTGGCTTTAGTAATAACAAATTAAAAAAAAAGTCTAAACGATATTAATATTTGCATATTGTTTTATATCTGCGTCGATGAGTTTATTGCAAGCACCTCGACGAGGTACGGACGTAAATATGTAACCAGTAAATGGTCCAAACGTCTTGGACGCGACTGTCTGAAGTGTAAGCGAAAATAAAGAAGAATAACAATATATAAATAAGTATGATGACACGTAGCTGCTCGTATATGTTTGTACAGTGTGGCAGGGCCACGCAGCAGCTTCTGTTGTTGCACGAAGAGGCAGGCTCGTCCGAAGAAGTACCAAGACCTCGCAGAAAACTGACGTAAAGTGGAAGTTGTTATATTATCGCGTTTCGTCTCGTGAGGTAACCGGGGCCGACTTTTAAAGGTTGTCAACGTATTTATTTATTTATTTAAAAATGTATTATTTACACCTCAACTTAAGGATAAAGAAAAGGCAAACTTAATAAGCATTCTCTTCCAGTCAACCATGGGAGTAGAGAAAGTTTGACGCAAAAAATCTCCGAGCTCTCGGGTGTTGCAGATGTATATGCTAGCTTGACTACAAAAAAAATATCAAAAACATTGAATGTACAGTCGCAATCAACACAAAACTGTTGCGACAGTAATTGCCCTTTTGCTGTGAAGTAGTAGCATCGCGTTCAGCAATGGTTTGCACAGCGATCTATATTTCGCTAGGTTCGTGATCGTCGAGTGTTTCGTAAAGGCACGCGGAATTAAATCGAGCGGAGAAACAAATATTGTGTTGGCATCGTTGAAACGTCAGGTGTTACCCAAAAGCCTATATGTAGGTAGTGCTTGTTCGCTGGCTTACGCTCCTTAAAAAAAAAGTAACGTAACAGCCTATTAATGTCCAACTGCTCCTCAAACGCCTCCTCTGTACAGAGGGTATTATGATATAGCCAACCACGCAACGCCACTGCGGATTAGTTGATTTCGCATATCTTCGAATTATTTTTTTATATATTTTCTTTTAATTTTTCGAAAATATGCAGGTTTACTACCGATGTTTTCCTTCACCGTTCAGCACGTGATAAGTCAGCGCTTAAAATAACAATTTCATTGGTTCCGTCAACGAGGATTGAACTCAAGTTGCTCGAGTATATTTAATTAAAGTGAACGCCCGAACAATGGGTTTAATTGTATATAAAAATCAATGTCCCTTTATCATCATCATGTCAAAAACCTATTTTTAATTTCTTATGTATTTATTTGTACTTTGTATGTATGTGTGAACAAATGTTTCGATTGAATTTTCACCAAACATAGCAGACATTTGAACCATTTCTTGTCTACAAATCAAGCGACAACAAATCTTTTTATAGCGGCCTTAAATGACCGCTTGCAAGGAGGAAATCAGAGTAGTACCTCGCCAACAATTAGCTACTGCGACTTGTTAAAGGTTGCCTTTCAATTCAAAAGTAATAACAAACAAACTTTGAGTTTTCTTAATTGCTCTTACATTTACCTCTTAACAAACGGCTCGTTCCATACACGCATCATAAAGAAATGGTTCCAAGCATTGCCACGTTTCGTTGCATCTTAAAATCGATATGGTATTTACTTAAATTATTACAGAGCCTTGATAGCTCAGCGTACGGACGCTCGCTTTCAATTCATTATATTCGAGCAACCCGAGTTGAAATTCCGGTGCCGGCACCAATGAAATTGATAATTTCAGGTACTGACTTATCACATGCTATAACTGTGAAGGAGAACATCATTAGGCACCCAGCATTTTTTTCATATAATAACAAAAAAAGTATTTCGAATATTTTGGTGGAATATGCCCTAATACCGCCTGCACAGAGGAGGCATTTGCACAGCAGTGGTCATATGCGTGCGGTTACTTTACTATTTTACGTTTCTTTTTAAGTTATTAAAGGGAGACAGTTTCAAACTGTTATATTTCCATAAGATCTGACTAATATATTACGCGTTCCAAGTCCGCCACATCCTACGAGGAGGCGCTGAAGTTCAGATTCTTATATGTTTTAATTTTATGCATATTATAAGGTAAAATTGTTCACTTGTGACGTCCTAAACTATTAGCTCTGTTAAAACTTAGAACCAACATTGAAAGTGTTTCAGTGATTGGAAGAATGGTAGTCCGTGCGCTCGTTTAAGTTACATAAGCGTATTTAAACTTAACCAACGTTCTCGAAGCATCGGCGTAGTTGTAACATTCCAGGTCTTATATCCTTCTAGTCTAGGCTAAGATAAATTAAGTAGTTTAAGTCTAGAGCTCTTTACGTTTAAGGTT